GGGTATTGTTGGCCAGGTCACAGGGAAAAACTCCCTTCTCTTTTTTGAATAGTGCCATGAGATCTTTAACATTCACCTGAACAGGCGGATGAGACCTCACTTTAATGTCTCCAAAAGAGACGGCACCTCCAAGAATGCAGTGTACCCCTGCACTCTGTTGAAGCATCAATTAGCCTGCGACCATGAGTTCAAACTCCAAAAGTTTTCCCCCTTTTCCCTCTAAAAGCGCTCTGGGACGATACCCCCCATAACGTTTCAATGAATTTCAAGTTGTTATTGTACTTCACTGTACACATTCAGCCAAGGGAGTGACTGATCCAGTAATACTACTTGCTGTGGTGACTTCAGGTGGAATGTGCTTAAGATCTCCACAAGGTTCTATGGTTTTTTCTCTCACTGATAATGTTGAGATAAGTGAAATTATCCTCAATTCTGGATCTTAAAATGTCAACCAACGGTCTGACACTGTGACTGAAATGTCACCTGTAGTTTCTTCTCTTGAGCTCACTCGAGGGTTCTGCCTGTGTTGCCCTCGAACTGGATGCAATGAAGTGCTAGACAGCACTGCAGGTAGACTCACCATCTAATATCACAGAAATCTTCACCACAATTGGGGAAAGAACTGGATCAATGACAGGTTTGAAGATCCCCCCCACCCAACCTCTTGAATCAGAAGGTTGTGGGTTCAGAAATAAGCACAGTCCCCTTCAACCCAGATTTCCTCAGCAACTGTTTGATCTGAGTTCCCCCACAAGAATGAAACCTCAACATAAAATAATAATGCTTGCCTTTGAAACGGAGTCTATCATGTCAAAATGTCTCTAAGCAATTCACACAAATGTAGTGACGCAGGAGCAAAGGTCCCATAAAGAGGTACAAAATGAAACTTCCTCAGTTTACAAACATCTAACTTCCACGTGAGCTTGTTTAACATCACGTCAGAGATTGATTCATCAGACAGTGCCCCCAGCACAACACCACTACTAGACTGGAGTGTCAACCTAGACCGTGAGTTCTAAGTGCCGACGTGGGGATTGGACCCACAGCTTCTGACGCAGATGGAAGGATGCTTCCAACTGAGGCAGGCTAACTGAACCCAGGCGACAGTATCACTTCAGAAGATCAAGCTGCATTGATTGTTTTAATCTCATTGGAACATAGGAACAAGAGTTCATTCAGTCCATCGAGCCTGTCCCACCACTTTCAAAGATCATGGCTGATCCACCTCAAAAGTTTTGCCCATGACTATAGTCAAATCATGTTATAGTACTTTCTGTGAAGCGCTTTGAGACATCTAGAGGATGTGAAAAGCGCTATATCAAATGCAAGGATTATTATATTGTTATAAAAGGCTGTGGCCTTACAGAAGCAGAGCACCACTCACTACACAAATTATTTTTACGTGTTCTGGCATGGAAATAATGTTGATTATTACCAATGTTTGCAGACTTTCGTTTGGACCGCTCAACAAGGTCAAAGATGCTGAAAGAAATGCAACCCTTCCCCTACGTTCTGAATCTTTACAAGAAATCATTCTGAGAGCAAAACACTGATATGAAAACCACATGATTTGAAGCCTTGGAAAACTGCTTTATTGTGCAAACTGCAGCTAAATCACCTGCTGTGCTATCATCACAAGTCTGGCAATGCCCTGAATAGCAGCATTCACACATTTATCATATTATCACATCTATCATTTCAGTAAATAAGAACTTCTATCAAGTGTTGCAATGTTATCTTGGGTTTTGGAAGACGGTCCTAAGCAGGTGATTTTGTGTGTGGCAAAGCTGCAGGCATCTTGATGCAACACCACATACAGTGAGCATCTGCGCCTCCATAAATAAAATCATATTGACAAAATACGCTGAATCGCAAACAGAAAGATTTGGTTCCAGAAATACATTAACTATGTAGATTAGGATTATACAACAACAACAAAATTACATTTATAGAGTGCCTTTCACGTCGGGAGGATGCCCCAAAGCGTTGGACAGTCAGGGGCCAGGACTCGAGCATGGGGGAGGAGTGGGGTAGGGGCGAGGGAAGGCAGAGAGATGGGAGGGCGACCGAAGGCACGATCGAAGAGGAGGGTCTTGAGGCTGGCCTTGAAGGAGGCAAGGAAGGAAGCGAGGAGAGAGGACAGTGGGATGGAGTTCCAGAGCGTGGGGGAAGAGAGGCTGAAAGCCCGGCAGTTAGGGCGGGTCGGGCGGGAGACATGGAGCAGATCGGAGCCCGCTGAATGGAGGGAACGGGCAGGTTGGTAGGGAGTCAGCAGGTCAGAGAGGTAGGAGGGGGAAAGGCCATGGATGGCCTTGAAAGTGAGGATGTGGATCTTGAACTCGATCTTCTGAGGGATGGGGGGAGCCAGTGGAGTCGGGCGAGGGTTGGATTGATGGGGTCGCAGAGTCTCGTGCACGAGAGTACACGAGCTGCAGAGTTTTGGATGAACTGCAGCTTGTGAAGGGAAGAATCGCGAAGGCCGATGAGGGAATTTCCGTAATCGAGCCTTGATGTGACGAATGCGTGGGTGAGGGTTTCAGCAGCAGCAGAGTCTGGCAATGTTGCGGAGGTGGTGGTAGGCAGTGCTGGTCATGGCCCGAATGTGGGGGAGAAAGGACAGTTCAGGGTCAAACAAGACACCCAGGTTCCTGACTGGCTTAGTGAGGTTGAACGTGCAGCTGCGGAGGCGCTTGTGCGAGCCAATCAGGAGGGCCTCAGTCTTGCTGACATTCAGCTGGAGAAAGTTGTCCCTTGTCCAGGACTTGACCCTCCATCCCCTCCTCCCCCTGCTTCCCTCCCCTCACTCCTCCCCTCCACTGCCTCCTCCACTTCCATGCCACGCTGACCCCCCCGGTTGCTTTTAGTCTCGGCATATTTTGGCTGCCGCCACCGACATGAGCTGCTTCCCCAAAATGCTCCCACCCGTCCCTACCTCTGTGACCTCCTAACCCCCTACCAACCCGTCCGCTCCCTCTGCTCAGTGGACTCCGGCCTGCATCACATCCCCCGCCTCGCCCAGCCTTCAGCCTCTCTGCCCCCACCCTTTGGAACTCCATCCAACTCTCATTCCGCCTCGCCTCACCCCCTCCCTTGCCTCCTTCAAGATCTGTCTCAAGACCCTCCTTTTCGACCGTGTCCCCTACCCTCCCCGCCCTCCACCCCTCCTGATCCCAACCACCAGCCCGGGTGCAGATCCCTGACTGTCCAGTGCCTTGGGACGTCCTCCTGACGTGAAAAACAAAATTTGTTGTTGTGTTTCTCACAATATCTGTGTCCCGCACTTTCTGCCCCACCATTGGATCGAGCATTCAGCATCTCTGCTTCCACACTATCCCACAATCTGGAACTCTATCCCACAATCCCTCCACCTCACCCCCTCTCTCGCCTCCTTCAAATCGCATCTAAAGACCTTCCTCTTCTACCGTGACTTCAGTCACCTTTCCACCCCCAACCCCTGCCTTCCACCTCTCCTGACCCCAACTCCCAGCTCGGGTCCAAAAACCCCCGACTGTCCAGCACCCTAGGACGTCTTTCTGACGTGAAACGCGCTTTACAAGTGTAATTTGTTGTTGTTGTTGGACAGGCAGTCGGTCAGGACGCCAGTAGTTGAGGGTGGAGGCAGAGAGGGAGTTGGGTGTCATCCACATTCATGTGGAAATTTACCCCATGTCTGTGAATAATGTCACGAAGGAGGAGCACGAAGAGGGTGAAGAGGATGGGACTGAGGACAGAGCCCTGACGAATGCCGCACAAGATGGTGTGGGGGCTGGAGGAGAAGCCGTTAGTTGAAACAAAGTAGAGGCGGTGTGAAAGGTAGGACCTGAACAAGTCAAGGACAGAACCTTGGAGGTTGAGTTGGGAGAGGCAGTGGAGGAGGATTGAATGGTTCACAGTGTCAAATGCGGCGGAGGGGTCTAGGAGGCAGAGGGAACCCTGGTCATACATGGTCAGGATGTCATTTGTGACCTTGACCAGAGCAGTTTCCATGCTGTGGGCAGCAAGGAAACCCGATTGGAGGGGCTCATGGAGGGAGTGGGAGGAGAGGAAAAAGCGAAGTTGGGAGACAACAGCTCTCTCAAGGACCTTGGACAGAAAAGGGAGGTTGGAGATGGGCCGGTAGCTGGAAAGCTGTGTTGGGTCAAGGGAAGGTTTCTCCAAGGTGAGGGTGATAGTGGCTGTTTTGAGGGGGGTAAGAAGTCCCAGATGACAGGGAGAGGTTGATGATGTTAGCAAGTAGTGGGGCAAGGAGGTGGAACTGGGATTTAAGGAGAGGGGTGGAGATGGGGTCCAGGAAGCAGGTGGTGGACTTCATGAAGGATATGGTGGTGATAATGGAGGAGGGGGTGACAGGTTCAAAGGTGTGGAAGGAGGGATGGGTTGTGTTCGGAGTGTGTGTGTGGGGGGGGGGGGGGAGGGGGAGTATGATATCATTGACAGCCAGGGTCTTGAAGCAGATGGAGGGGACATTTTGAAGGCCAATGAGGAGTGGACAGTTGGCAGGTGGATGTGTAGGATGGGAGGGCGTAGTGGATTGATTGGCAGGGAGGGTGGGGACGCAGATGAGGGAGAAGTTAGCCCCCGGGATGGGTCCAGGGTGGCTTGCGCTGGTGGTGGGGTATGGGGCAGTCGGTATGGCTGCTGCTGGACAGCCAACACTGAATACCACGGTGAGCCCGGCGGAGGATTCCCAGCCTGGAGCAAAGGGAGGCAGTGGTGGGGGGACATAGGAGGCGGAAAGGGCGGAGAGAGAGCAGGACAGAGCGGGAGAGTTGCAAGGAAGGGGACATTTTGAGGGAGGGTCAACTCAGATCTTCGACCATTGTCTTCGACCGTGCCTTCAGTCACCCTCCTACCCCTACTCTCCCTGCCCTCCACCCCTCCTGATCCCCACCCCCAGCTCAGGTCCAAATCCCCGATTGTCCAGAGCCTTGGGATGTCCTCCCGATGTGCAAGGCGCTATACAAACATAATTTATTGTGGTTGTTTACACTGCAGAATTTTACAAAAGTTAATCGTAATTTGGAATCTCGGTTTCCCACCGTGCTTTTTGTTTTTAAAAGAGACACCTCGGAGAACCAGCTAGGACATTGATGATTTCCAGTCCTCTGTGATTTATGAAAGAGCTGGTGTGTTTCTTCCTAAAACAGCCAGCTAAACACATTTTTCACACTCGGAATGTACAGTGGTAATAAAATATCTGGCTCCAAGGTTCAATTTGCCCTGTGGTTACAACGGTTTAGGAACCGTTAATACAGGAACTTCCTGCTTTCCACGGGAACATGGAATGGCCTCCCAGTCTGGCTGCTCTGATGGGAGTGTGCGTGGCTTGGAGTTTTTTTGCAGCAAATGCACTCCCGCAACATACTCAACTCTTCCAGTTGCAAGGCGGTGTATGCAGAATTTCCTCTTGATCACGTCTCCTGCATGCCGACTTCCTGAAGTGGTCATCTTCGGAGAGAAGAGTATTGATCCAACTCCTGTGTTCTCCCAGAGGAAGCTTCGACATTCCACAGGATTAAAAGATGTGCCATGATCTAAGAAAATGGCAGAACAGGCTCAATGGACCAAACGGTTCGTTGAGCAACTGTGGGACCCATCTCTTGACTGGAGTTTCTTGATAGGCATCAGGAAATTAGGATGGTAACATGGACTGAATTATCAGGCTTTCCAGAACTTCAGCACCGAAAGGTGTTCTCTCCCAGCTTGTCTAGAAATAATCACAGTCCCCTTCAACCCAGATTTCCTCAGCAACTGTTTGATCTCCTCTGTAAAAGAACATAAGAGAGATGGAAATAGGATGTCTGGCCTAGAGGTAAATATTTTTCCTTGGTGCTTGTTAAAAATCAACTGACCCAAATCAATGAATTAGAAAAGTCCAGCGTTTACAAAATTCAACTTAAGAAAAGAGTATGGGTCATTACTTAGGTAAAGCCGATCTGTTGGACTTCAATCCCCAATCTGCAGTAATTTTGCAGATTGACTGCCACGTTTTGCCCACAAAATACAGTTATTCCACTTTACAGTATATTTTGTTAAACACTTTGAGACATCTTGAAGACGGGATAAGGCACTATATCAAATGCAAGGATTATTATCATCATTATCATCATCATCAGGATGCTACTATTGGCTTCATCACCCCTGGGCTAGGGAAGGGAATGTTTAAAAAAANTCAATCAGGGTTCCTGTACTCGATTGCTATCTCCTCTGTAAAGTAAGGGAACACAACAACAACAAATTACATTTGTATAGTGCCTTTCATGTCAGGAGGATGTCCCAAGGCGCTGGATATAAAGGATATGAACACCCATATAAAGGGAGCATCTGTGTCTCCGTAGATCAAATTTAGTGAGATGACAAGACCTCACTGAGATGCCCACTTTGCTCACTAGTGAAGTGTATCGATGTACAGAAGAGCATGGAATTGTAGGCCAACATGAGTCATGGGGTTTAGGAGGCAAGGAAAGGGGAAAGACAAGGAAACAAAGGAAAAGAATCAATCTGACGAACAAGAAGACAAAAGAAACTCCGATACAAGTGGGATTTTAATTTGAAAATCTTACACAAAATCTATTCCTTTCCCTTAACACTATTTCTACTACTTGAACTGCTACTCCTCCGCAGAAAGGAAACAAACAGTTTGAAGGACAGGTTTGGGACACACACCAAGAAGAACTTTGTTAAGGAGTACTTAACAACTGGAAAGATTATCAGGGAGAGTGGTGATACCCAGCCTGCTCCAGTGGTTGGGCCTTCAGCCTCTCTGCCCCCACCCTTTGGAACTTCATCCCATAGTCCCTTCGCCTTGCTCCCTCTCTTGCCTACTTCAAGGCACGCCTCAAGACCCTCCTCTTCAACCAACCTCCTACCTTCTTCGTGCCTTCAGCCAACCTCCTACCACCCCCCCGTTCAGATCTTAATAGTGTTCAGCGCCTTAGGACGCCCTCCCAATATGAAAGGCGCTTTACAGGTGTATTTTGTTTTGTACCCATACTCTCCCTGCCCTACACTCCTCCTGATCCCAACCTCCAGCTCGGATCCTAAGCCCTGACTTTTCAGTGCCATGGTGTAAGAAGAGGTTTAAAATCGTTATTAAAATTATTGTTCAATACCTCAAAGCGTATGTAAAAGAACTGGGACAATCTTGATTGATCTTAAGGAATACAAGAGAGAGAATTTGAACCAAATGGAGTGAGGTCTGTGTTTTTCGATTCTGTGATATTTTTGATGAAGACTTGATGGGATAGGTGTTATTCCTTTCCTTATTGGAAGAATGGTGTCTAACAGTCTATCTCAAGTAAATGAAATTGACTTAAGAGACTCTACAACCAACTAAGATGACCCAAACGTCAACATTCACAAGATCAGAAATGTGTGGCTTCGAGTTAACCTAACATTGCCCTGATTAATTGAACTCTTGGTGCCTCGCAATCTGGTTGTGAGAAGATTTTTTGACTTCAAGGTGTCAATTAAGACAATTAATTGCCAAAGTGAACTTTTCATACTTGCTACCGGAGGCTTCGTGAGGGAACTCCCAAATTCCTGAGATTAAACCTTGATAACCTTGGGGCTTCCCGTGTGTGGAAAGATGATTGGATGGATCAATCCAGGAATATGATTGGGCAATCAAACTGAACTTTGGTTGGGTGGAATGGCTCATGATCATTATATGTCCGAACTTTAGGGTATAAAAAAACTGATCAAATGTTAAGAGGTTGGACACTGTGAGATACTGGATCCCATGGGCCTTGTGGGTTCACAGTTAAACAATTAACCAAAGGATGATTGGTGTGTTGAGAGTCCCCAAAGAAAGTCGAGATGAGCCTGGCATGAATCATCTTCTGCAGTTGTAAGCATAAAACTTGTCACTGTTTAATAACCTTCTTTTTGATTTATAAAGTAACCCTTTGATTTATCCATTGCCTCTGTCTACGATCTTACCTCAGGGTCATACCACATAAAAACCTTACAATGGGACTTCCTCCTGACCCAAACGGTGCTATACAAATGTAATTTGTTGTTGTGTTGTTGAAGGGCCAGGCATTTAGGAAATAGTTTGATGCAACAACAGGAAGCCGATGATGTATTTTGGAACAATACGACCAAATAGGCCAATTTACCTTCTTCATCTAGATCTATCTTGTAACTATTGGATTGTGTTACTGCAATAGATTAATTACCTCGGTATTTTTCCTACTGTACAAGCACCTACGGTGACATGGGAGTAAAACTGAAAATACTGTTTCACTAAACACTAAAACTATCAGTTTAAGCCTCGTGGATTAAGAAATGGTTTACTGTTAGAATTACCAATGTTAATGTGATGCCAATAATTGGTCAAATAAAACTTTGAAGTTTCCTATATTTTGCTGAAAGGACAAAGATTTCCCCTTTTCCCAATATGTTGAGGGCAAGAGAGAAAAAGATCCAGCTTGACAAGAGAATCACTGATACAAATATATGTTCAATATGTTGACACTCTCCTCTTCAAGACTTTATAATAATAATAATCCTTGCATTTGATATAGCGCTTTTCATGTCTTCTAGACGTCCCACAGCGCTTCACAGAATATACTGTAAAGTGAATTGACTGTATATTTGTGAGCGAACACGGCAGCCAATTGCGCACAGCAATGTCCCACAAAGTCATGAATTGAAAATGACCAATTTCTTATTGTTTTGTTTTTTTGGAGGGATTATTATTGGGCGTGTGGAGTAAGGAAACTTGCCCAAGGTTTCGCCCTGCCTGGAATTGAACTCAGGTCTCTCACTTGCAAAGCGAGTGCTCTAACCACTGAGCTACAGGACTCCACTTTGGCTTCATCATTCAGCTAAGGGGCTTTTGGCATAAGATACGTTTTAATACTCGATCTTATGCAAGCACTCTTACCTGGATTATTTTCCTGAACTACAACCAGATAAAACAATCCATGACTGGAAAGAAGGCTTGGAACATGTGGAAAAAGACGATCCATGACCTCACGACCTCTTTCTCCTCCAGCCCAGGAGGCCTCTATGCCGTTACTACCTACCTGAAAGAAACAAGAGCAGGTGCAAAAAAGGTCAAGCTCTCTCAAAGAAAACATTTGAAGTTTAAAACTCAACCAAGTTATAAATATAATAATAACCCTTACACTAATCTTGTGGCTTCCATATCGTGAGGATGTTTCAAACCACTGCACAGGATATACCGTGAAGTGCAGTCACTGGATAGTTTGTAAGCGATCATGACAATCAATTTGCGTACAGCAAAAGTCCCACAAACAGCCATGAAGTGAATGACCAATGTTATCTGGGGGATTGTTGGCCACGACACCAGGAGAAACAATGTAGTGCCATGGAATTAACCTGAACATGCAGGTAGGATCTTCGTTTAATGTCTCTCCAAAGGACAGCTTCTCCAACAATGCAGGACACCCGCAGCAATGCATTAGAGGGTCAACCTCGCCTATTTGAGTTCAAAGTCCCAATTTGAGGTTTGAACCCATAATCGCTGACTCAGAGACAAGAGTGCTACCAACTGAACCAGGCTGATACACAAATACTTCTAAGTTCTTCCTGGTACTTACTCTGACCTTTAACAGAGCATATGTGTGCAGAGCATCTCTTTACTAGAAGCTGTGGTACATCAAAGACTTCTCCTGCAAAGCTAATTTGTGTGTGTATATGATCTGAAACTGCTGTATTTTAGAATAGAAATGTTAATATACCACAAGCTCACAGACACATCTAGCTTCAAAGCTGCCACTCACCTAATTTCAAATAGTTCTGCAATTGTAGAATTGTTCATCATTTAAGATGCAGAATTTCCCTATTCCAAAAGCTGCAATTATATACAGAGATGAAATTACTGTTCACTTTCGTACTCACTTCTTCCAAGGGGGTCACAACATAAGGTGGATTAAATATTAACACATCAACTTGATTTTGTAGTCGCGGCAACAACCCTGTGATCTGTAATAGTCAAAAAAAAACAAGACAGGCAACTTCAGTTAATTTATCTTGAACTGCTGCATCCAAAGTTCAATGCTAACATTTGAATCTGTTAAGGGCTCAATTCATAATCTCCTTGAAGATATTTGTTTCTCTTCAGCATGTCAGTCAAAAGGACAGGAAGGCAACTTACACTTGATCTGCGAAGGGCTGCCTTGACTCGAGGTTGGTCCTTCACTCACGTTTGTCCTCAATCCCTCCAAGAAAGCACCTGGCCTCTGCTCTGTGCCACTCCAGAGGAGCACAAAGGCTGCTTCACCAACACATAGTATATAAGCACATCCCATGTGTTGCCACCTGGAAATCACTAAGCCCATCTATATTTTTAGACTACCTGTAGTGCATTACTTACCAAGTCAGTGATAATTGGCTGGATGTTCACACCATTCCTTTTTGCAGTCTCCACTGTACAAGCAGCAGCCAGGGGATTAATGTCTGTACAGCTACGAATAAAATAAATTTGAAGATGCGTGATCAGCACTTAGGTACTTTCTCTAGATTGTGAGCAACACACAGGAAGCGACTTCAGCAGCGACTCAATTCGACAAACCAAAGTCAACCATCTTTTAGCACTTCATTTTAAGATGCAAATCTGAACTAATGGACGCAGAACACTATTATGGTTTGCCCTGTACTTGTCAAGAAGAAACCAAACCAATTTCCCTTTCTAAGCCCCCATTAAATAACATAAACATACAAGGCAGATTTTGAAAACAGGGTCTTACCATCGATCTTTATTGCAGCCAAAGGAAATCAATTTCTCTGGCTTTATCATGATCATGCAATAATGTATTGGAGGAGCTACTTACAGATAAAGGGACTTGGACCCAACGATGGAAGCCAGAAATACCGAGACAACACCAGACCCTGCTCCAACCTCAAGGCAGATTCTGGGGCTGGAAAATGAAATAATGAATGGGACTCGCTTGTGGATGAATGAAGTTCGCAGATAATCAAGAATCATCAACCCACAACCTTCTGAGTCAGGGGCGAGAGTGCTACCGAGCCAGGCTGATACATCCCTTGCCAATCTTTGACAAGAGTGAAATACGTTTTAAAAATACTTATTCTGTTTATTTGCCAACTTGCTCCAAATGGGAGATACAGTACCCAAATGCCCAACAGTTCTTGAGTTGGAAACAATAAGCATTGATAATTGTTTTAAAACACACGAACTGAAACAAAATAGTTTTTTTTTAAAAAATAACTGAAAAGAGAGTCTTAGTTACAAATGTGATGGATGAACACAGTTTGCCAATGACATCTGGTGGCAGGACACAGAATTCTGCATCAAACTTTGGCCGACTTCACTGAATGTGGATCACAAGATAGGGTCTTTTGGTCCCATTCAATGTCACCCGACCACCTCATGCGTCAACATTGCAGCACAATTTTTCCTTTCCATAGTATTGAATCCAAATGTCACTCACTTACTGGTAAGCATATAAAAATATCGATGAGAACACCTACTCAATAATAAATATTCCGCTGCCTATTATTTTTGACCCCCTCCCCCAAGCATAGCTTACCAGTGACGGGTTATTTCCTTTACATCTTTTTCTAAAGCGTCCATTAAAAGAAAGCTATCCTCCGCTGGATCATACACGTCAGCATAATCCCCACAGCCAACATGGGAACTATAAGGCGTGGAAAACATTGTACAGTTTCTAAGAAGAAAGCAGAAAGAAATAACCTTTTATCAGTGTGGTCATATACTCATTTATTAGTCCACAATATCTGGTATTTATTTCTCAGCAGAAATGCAAGCCCTGATTAAGACCTAGCATCGTGGTTAACTGTAATGTACAGGTATTAATCACAAAATGTGCACCATCCACTGAACACCCAAAGTGTCAGCTTGGCTCAGTTGGTAGCACTTTGGGTGAGAAAGTTGTGTTTTTTTTAAAAAAAGGGAGTTTTTCCCGGTGTCCTGACCAGAGATGCCCCCAAATAAAGTTTGTCATTCACTTCATGATTGTTTGTGGGACATTCTTGTGTGCAAACCTGGCTTTAATATTTGCTTAATTTACAGTATATCCTATGAAGCGTTTTGAGAAGTTCTCTCAATGTGAAAAGGGACCCTGCCAAATGTAAGGATTATTATTATTATTATTATTATGAAGCTTAAAAACATTGTCAATATTTTTGGCAGAATTGTGCACTGCCAAAAAATAAAAATATTTTATTTAAAAAAACATACCGTTTGCATTTTGCATACAGTCAGCCAGCAGATAAAAATCCAAGAACTCAGCCAAACTGAAAGAACTTAAATGATGGCTAAAATTTTGCAAAAAAGGTTTTGGTGTCATTGTTTGGTTTAATCCACAGAAAGGTGCGAAGAGACAGTTTTGTTTAGTATAACTAGGCATAAAGGTGTCAAAAGAGCTTCTCCAACAGCGGAAATCAACAGGGACTTGACATAAGTTTGTCGGATGAAGAGGCTCATTCATTTACAACAATAACAACAACAAAATTACACTTGAATAGCGCCTTTCACATTGGGAGAACGTCCCAAGGTGCTGGAAAGTCAGAGTTTCGGACCCGAGCTGAGGGTTGGGATTGGGGAGGGTGGAGGGCAGGGGGGAAGCAGAGTGATCAAAAGTACAGTCGAAGAGGAGGGTCTTGAGATGGGTCTTGAAGGAGGCAAGGGAGGGATCGAGGCGGAGAGACTGCGAGATGGAGTTCCAGAGGGTGGGGGCAGAGTGGCAGATAGCATCCTGCCAATAGTGGGGCGGGCGAGGTGGGGGACGTGAAGTAAGCCAGAGCCCGCTGAACGGAGGGAGCAAGCAGGATGGTCGTGGGTCAGGAAGTCACAGTAGTAGGGGGGAGCAAGGACATGCAGGGCTTTGAAGATGAGGACTAGGATCTACAACTTGCACTTAAAAAACAAGACAGTAGAACAAGAGGACACAGATTTAGGATTGTATATCTACTTATCTAGCATAGTTTATGCCTTGTGCTTAATGAATGGAGATAACATAAAGATAAATTAAGGCATTGGGGGATTATTTTTTCTGTCAGTCGGGATCTGAAACATGCGGAAACCCATCATCATACTTTGGAGTCCTGTAGCTCAGTGGTTAGAGCACTCGCTTTGCAAGCGAGAGACCTGAGTTCAATTCCAGGCAGAGGGCGAAACCTTGGGCAAGTTTCCTTACTCCACACACAGCTTAATAATAATCCCTCCAAAACCAAAAACAATAATAAAATTGGTCATTTTCATTCTACGACTGTTTGTGGGACATTGCTGTGCGCAATTGGCTGCCACGTTCGCCCACAAATATACAGTCAATTCACTTTACAGTGTGTTCTGTGAAGCGCTTTGGGACGTCCTCCCGACGTGAAAAGCGCTACATCAAATGCAAGGATTATTATTATTATTATTATTAAACAGTATCTAAACCAGACAGGGATTTCCATGTACCCCACCTACACATGGAAATTCCAGATAGATTGTTGGAATGCGCACTCTCTCCCTGGAGGGACGCATCCTGCTTTACCTAATTCCAGAAAGTATTGGATCCAGGTTGGCATAAAGCCAAGGCTTGGGAACCCCAGAGTATATGTTGGGTACTGTTGGAGTCTAACCAGCTAAAACCGCATAGCTTGTCATTGATATTGCTGTCCGGCAAGCTTTCTTGCTGCTTGTCCTGCTAGGACCACCCTACTCGTCAGGGCTTTGGCTTGCAAGGTCAACAGGAATTGAGTAGGGTTGAATTCCTGCCCCCCAGTGACTGATCTGCCCTTCCAGGTCCTGCCAATGAGCCAGGCTGACTGTGCTGTCATCAAATGTTTATCTTTCTCTCAGCAGTGCCCTGGAGTACCGTGGACCCGCCTCGCTCAGGAACCGCACTACAGAGACGGTCACAGAGGAGGGCCGGCTCGATTCCGACAATCCGTTGACAAACATGTCACCTTGGAGCCAATTCAGCTCCAGGGAGACCCCGCTTACCCCGTCCCACAGGAGGATAGTCGCTAGTTGATCCCACAAACACATCCCACCAGTTCGACATCCCACAAACGCGGGTTTGAGCCTTCACTCTGTGGACGGCAGGTACAAGGAGGAACTCCCTGCAAACTTCCTGGTGGGCAACACATCTCAGTGTGAAATACGTGAGAGCATGTGGTGCCCTCAGTTGTTGCTTGTGTGTGGAGAGGGGTAGAGGCTGGGACGGGGACGGCTGTGGAGAGGGGTAGAGGCTGGGATGGGGGGTGTGGAGAGGCGTAGAGGCTGGGATGGGGGGGTGTGGAGAGGGGTAGAGGCTGGGACGGGGGGAGGGGGCTGTGGAGAGGGGTAGAGGCTGGGATGGGGGGGGGGGTGGAGAGGGGTAGAGGCTGGGATGGGGGGGAGAGGTGTGGAGAGGGGTAGAGGCTGGGATGGGGGGGGAGAGGTGTGGAGAGGGGTAGAGGCTGGGACGGGGGGTGGGGGGGTGGAGAGGGGTAGAGGCTGGGATGGGGGTGGGGTGGAGAGGGGTAGAGGCTGGGACGGGGGGTGGGGGTGTGGGGAGGGGTAGAGGCTGGGACGGGGGGTGGGGGGTGTGGAGAGGGGTAGAGGCTGGGACGGGGGGGGGGGGGTGGAGAGGGGTAGAGGCTGGGATGGGGGGGTGGGGGGGTGGAGAGGGGTAGAGGCTGGGACGGGGGGTGGGGGTGGAGAGGGGTAGAGGCTGGGACGGGGGTGGGGGGTGTGGAGAGGGGTAGAGGCTGGGACGGGGGGTGGGGGGGGTGTGGAGAGGGGTAGAGGCTGGGAGGGGGGTGGGGGGGTAGAGGCTGGGACGGGGGGTGGGGGGGTGTGGAGAGGGGTAGAGGCTGGGACGGGGGTGTGGAGAGGGGTAGAGGCTGGGACGGGGGTGTGGAGAGGGGTAGAGGCTGGGACGGGGGGGGGGGGTGGAGAGGGGTAGAGGCTGGGATGGGGGGGGTGGGGGGTGTGGAGAGGGGTAGAGGCTGGGATGGGGGGGAGAGGTGTGGAGAGGGTAGAGGCTGGGACGGGGGTGGGGGTGGAGAGGGGTAGAGGCTGGGACGGGGGTGGGGGTGGAGAGGGGTAGAGGCTGGGATGGGGGGGAGAGGTGTGGAGAGGGTAGAGGCTGGGACGGGGGGTGGGGGGTGGAGAGGGGTAGAGGTGGGATGGGGGGGGAGAGGTGTGGAGAGGGGTAGAGGCTGGGACGGGGGGTGGGGGGTGGAGAGGGGTAGAGGCTGGGACGGGGAGGGGGGGGGGGGAGAGGGGTAGAGGCTGGGACGGGGTGTGGGGGTGTGGAGAGGGGTAGAGGCTGGGACGGGGTGGGGGGGGGTGTGGAGAGGGTAGAGGCTGGGAGGGGTGGGGGAGGGGTGTGGAGAGGGGTGGCAGCCCTCCCCCTCCCCTCCCCTCCCCCCCCCCCACACACACACACAACTGTAGCGGCCCCGGAAGGTGATGATGGCGGCGGGTGGGGTGGGGGGGGGTGGGGGGGAGGGAGGGACAGAGAAACATTCAGGAGAATAACGTGGCGCAATGAACGAGGAGCAGCGGTGACCTTACCCGAGAGCGGGGCCGAGCTCTGCCCGAGTCGCTGTGACCAGCGGCGCGAGGGGGGGAGAGGGGGGGGGAGAGGAGGGGGGAAGGTGCTGAGCGGACGGACCGGTCTGAGCCGCTCCAGGGAACAGGCGGACACTTCCGGTGGACGGGCACTTCCGGCGGACGGGCACTTCCGGCGCGCTGCATGTGCTCCGTCCCGGGGTGTCGGGGGCTCTGCGTTGGGGGACATGGGGACCAAGAGGAGGCGGAGGGGCAGCGGCGACCCTGACCCCGACCCGGCAGCCAGTAAGAAGGCCAGGACCGAGCAGGACTTCACGGGGAGTCGGTTTAAACACCTGCTGAGCGCTCCTGACACCGTGACGAGAGGTGAGAGAGCATCCCGAGGCCGTGCGGTGGGGGGGAGAGGCTGTGGGGGTGATGGGGGAGAGGCTGTGGGGTTGATGGGGGAGAGGCTGTGGGGGTGATGGGGGAGAGGCTGTGGGGGTGATGGGGGAGAGGCTGTGGGGGTGGTGGGGGAGAGGCTGTGGGGGAGAGGCTGTGGGGTGATGGGGGAGAGGCTGTGGGGTGGTGGAGGGAGAGGCTGGGGGGGTGATGGGGGGGAGGCTGTGGGGAGAGGCTGTGGGGTGATGGGGGAGAGGCTGTGGGGGTGGTGGGGGAGAGGCTGTGGGGGTGGTGGGGGGAGAGGCTGTGGGGGTGATGGGGGAGAGGCTGTGGGGGTGGTGGGGGGAGAGGCTGTGGGGTGATGGGGGAGAGGCTGTGGGGGAGAGGCTGTGGGGGTGATGGGGGAGAGGCTGTGGGGGTGGTGGGGGGAGAGGCTGTGGGCGTGGTGGGGGAGAGGCTGTGGGCGTGGTGGGGGGTGATGGGGAGAGGCTGTGGGGGTGATGGGGGGAGAGGCTGTGGGGGTGGTGGGGGAGAGGCTGTGGCGTGGTGGGGGAGAGGCTGTGGGGTGATGGGGGAGAGGCTGTGGGGGTGATGGGGGAGAGGCTGTGGGGGTGATGGGGGAGAGGCTGTGGGGGTGATGGGGGAGAGGCTGTGGGGGTGATGGGGAGAGGCTGTGGGGGTGGTGGGGGAGAGGCTGTGGGGGTGGTGGGGGGAGAGGCTGTGGGGGTGGTGGGGGGAGAGGCTGTGGGGTGGAGGGGGGAGAGGCTGTGGGGGTGGCTGGGGGAGAGGCTGTGGGGGTGGCGGGGGAGAGGCTGTGGGGGTGGCGGGGGGAGAGGCTGTGGGGGTGGCGGGGGGAGAGGCTGTGGGGGTGGCGGGGGAGAGGCTGGGGGTGGGGGTGGCGGGGGGAGAGGCTGTGGGGGTGGCGGGGGGAGAGGCTGTGGGGGTGGTGGGGGGAGAGGCTGTGGGGGTGGTTGGGGGAGGGACCTGGAGGAGATGAGATAGAACATATATGGGATGATGATGAGGAGGAGGGCATCTGGTCGGAGTTGGTGGTAATCATAATAATAACCCTTGCGTTTGATATAGCGCCTCATCACGTTTTCGAGACGTCTCAAAGCGCTTCACAGGAGAGACTGTACAGTCAATTGAATTGACTGCATGTTTTGCGGGAGAAACGCGGCAGCCAATTGCTCGCAGCCGTGTCCCACAAACAGTCAAGTTGCGGGTCGGGGTGGGGATGCAGTTCGCTGGCAGTGGGTCAGATTTGGAAGCTGCTTTGCTGTCGATGGTGGGATGGGTTAGTGTGCCAGTGGTGGTGCTGGGGGTCGGTCGGTTTGGGGTGCCTGTTCCAACGATGAGTTGTATTGGGTTGTCAATGTTGGGGGTGGATTGGGATGGGGTGTTGGGGGTGGGTCAGGTTGGGCTCCATATGTTGCGGATGGGTCGGGGTGTCTGTGTTGGGGTGGGTCAGGACGGGGTGCCTGTTTTGGGGGCGGGTCGGTATGCCTGTGTTGGGGGTCAGTCGTGTGGAGGGTATTGGTGTTATCCTGTAACATGATGACTACATTTGTCCTCCCTGCAGGTTTAGAAACCTTTATTTCCTTAGCTAAGCAATTGCCGTCTTCTGAGTTGTACGATGTCGTGGAGGGATACATAAAAATCTCTGTTGACTGCACAGAAATTTTTAAACTCTTCGAGGGAGAGAGACGAGAAGAAAGTCAGGTGAGTGCAGTTGGTATTTATTGTGAATTGTGATCTCAGTGTAATGGTAGTCATTTTAGTAGCTGGAGTTTACTTTAGTAGTAGGCTGTTCACCAGACCGTATTGAAGATCACTTTGATTTCACACACGACTGGTCCTTTGCACGCAGAGAGAGCTTTAATGAAGCCTTGACAAGACCACTTCGACTAAGCCCCTTGAGTTTGCAATAATAATCTTTGTAATTTATATTAATATAGTGGTTTATCAAGTCTTTGAGACACCTCAAAGCGCTTCACATAATATGCTGTAAAGTGAATTGACTGTATATTTTGCAGGCAGAATGTGGTAGCCAATTGCGCACAGCAGTATCCCACAAACAGTGGCATATTGAGTAACCAATTATTACTATCTTTTTTTTGATGGGATTATTATCCCCGGAAAAGCGATCTGCCAATCAACTAACAACCAAGTTCCTACGTAGTGCTAGGTAAACAGGCATGTGGAGTAAGGAAACTTGCCCAATGTTTCGCCCTGTCTGGGAATTAAACCTAGGTCCTCTCGTTCGGATTATTATTATTATCTAATCGTCTCGGCCAGTTGACTATTGGATCCCAGTTCCTTTAATCTACACATGCATAGTTCGATAGTTTTCCTCACTTTGAATGAGCTGAACAAGCATTCCTTTTTCTATAAGGTCAGTTTTAATTGCATGCACACATCTTATTTTTTTCTCCAAAATAATATCTATTCTGAACCATCATTTGCTCATTCTACTGTCTATCGAGATGTTTTCTTAAATGAAAAACATCCATGAAAATGATATTTCTTGTGCCGGTTGTGCCTTTTCAGTTGGAAAATAATGCTGTTGTTTTTTCGCATCAATTTTCAGATGATTCTGATTTTTGAAGTACTGGAAACCATTTTATTGAGAACTGCCAGTGATCTTTCCCATTTTAGTGCTGTGGCTATGAACATAGTGAAGAAGTTGCTTCACATGCATATGAAATTGATGTATGTGGCACTCTACTCAGCAAATCACAGGTCAGTGATCCAATGTCAGCTGATGGTTGTGTTGTTCACAGCAATAGAAGTGAGCCATTCAGCTCATCAAGCCTGTCCTGCTTTTTTGTTAGAGCATAGCAGATAATCAAGGTGGTGGTGCCCCTTTAGTCTCCCAAGTATTAATGTCCCCCATCTCCAATTTTAGATAACTGCACAAACCAGGCATCCCGCTGTTTTATAATTGCATAGAGTTACACTGAGTGTCGTGGAAACAAACCATTCGGCCCAACTAGTCAGTGCCAGTGTTTATTACTATACATGAACCTCCACCTTTCCTATTCTATTCTCCCTTACGTATGCATCAAGTTTCCTTTTAAATGCATTGCTGATTGTATTCTATTTTAATAGGTATATCCGAGCATGCCTTAACCTAATGACAGCAATGGTGAGCCAGAGTCCAGATGCTGCACGGGATTTCTTTAGCCAGTTTGATTTCAACAATAAGTTTCTGCCTGGCTTAGTGAAAAAGAGAGATAAAAAGGTAAGCCCTTTAATCTTGAATGTCAGTTTGGCTCAAGTAGTAACGCTCTCAACTGTGAATCTGAACATTGTGGTTTCAAACCTCATGTTGGAACTTGAACATGCTGTCCAGGCTGTTGTTTCAATGTAGAACGAACAGAGTGGTACGTTGTCAAGCGAGACGTTAAATCTTGGGTTTACATTTGCCTGTTCAGGTGGATGTTAAAAATCCCATAACGGTATTCAAAAAGATAAGGAACTTTCTCCTGGTGTGCTGGCTAGCAGTCCCAAGCGGACCAACTCCCCAAATATAAATCTCAAAATGACAATTTGTTGGTCAATTCAAGAATACAGAATTTATATTGATATTTGCCTTTAAAGGCTTGTTTGTCGACTCCAGTCAACAGCATTTGAAAGCTGCTTCATCGTTGATCAGGTCTTCGATCTACAATCCTCGATTACCTTCACGAGCAAACTCCACCCCCAAAACATGGATTGAATCTAAAGTGCCTTTCCCCCTCAATGTGTGAGAATACAGATGACTTGGTGCTCTGTAGAGTGAATACATTGCAAGACTGATTGTTTGTGTTCTGAATGATATGGCAAGGTGTGTTGAGTCTTTGTCATCTGGGTCTATTGATTGAGGTGTGTATACTGATGCCAACCATTAGTCAGCTGATCCCTTTTCCCCTCAATGAGTGGAAAAGGGATCAGTATGGGGAAGAGGCCCTCCTGATTATCTCCCATCAGTGCCTCCACATCTCGGACACTGCAGAGTCACCATCCAGGGATGCACACTCCACCTCACTGAGCCAGTCTGGAACCTTGGCGTCTTGTATGACCCTCAAACTGTCCTTTCTATCCCACTGTCCGTGCTATGACCCACTCTACTCTGCTTTCCCTCACCTCTGCAACATTGCCAGCCACTGCCTTTCCCATCAGGCCTCCGAAACCCTCATATACGCATTTATTACATCTAGGCTCGACAATGCCACCTCCCCGCTTGTCGGCCTTCCCAACTCTTTTCTCCTCTTGCTGCAGATCATCCAGAACTCTGCAGCTCTTGTCCTCTCCCTCACCAGGCTCTGTGACCCAATCACTGTCGCCCGGCTCCACTGGTTCCCCATCCCCCAGAGGATAAGAGTTCAAAATCCTCGTCTTCAAGGCCCTCCGCGTCCTTGCTCCTTCCTACCTTTGTTAACTGCTAACCCCATACCAACCTGTCTGATCCCTCCGCTCAGCAGGCACCAGCTTGTTCAACGTCCCTCGCCTGGTCTGCCCCACCATTGGCAGTTAGGCCTTCAGCTCCTCCTTTGAAATTCCATCCCACAACCCTCTGTCTTGCTCCCTCCGTTGCCTCCTTCAAAGCACACCTCCAAATCTGTATTCGGTCACCCTCCTACCTCTATCCTGATTGCCCTCCACCACCACTGACCCCACGCCTGCTTGGGTCCAAATCCCTGACTGTCGAGCACCTCGAGTCCTGCTGACGTGAAATGCCCTGTACAAATGTAATTTGTTGTTGTAAGAGTTCATGTGTGCTGTGTCTCTGCTGCAAGCTTCTGAATCAAATATCCAATGATTTTCATAGAATTCAGTGTAGTGAATCCTCTTGTGTCCATTGTAAAACGAGACATGGACATATGGCTTTAGGATGCACATGGATTTGGGGATATTTCGGTATATAAAATTTATCCTTTGTTTTTCTGTAGGGAAAGCCTGATGTACGCATGGCTTACATCCAGTTTGCAATTTCTTTTCTAATTACTGGTGACAATACCACTATTATTCAAGTCCTGGAGCTGAACGGTATGTTTTGGAATGTAACAACAGCTTGCGTTTATGTAACGTCTTGTGTAATTCAGCCAAAACCTTGTAGCTGAATTTTATGCTTCACGAAATACTGTGCAAAGCTAATCCTATAGATCAGTCTGCGCTATTAAAAACTAAAATCCCAAAAGGTTGCAAATGCTCAGAACCTTTAAGATGAAAGAGGTTAACAGGGTCAAACTGATCTTTAGTATTGTCATTGGAATAGATTGACTGAAATGAGCAGCAACAAATCTGATGCATATACAATAATAAGTCATCCACCTCTTCCCTTTCTAGAATTACTTGAATTGTGCTTTGTTAAGGGTTGGGCACATCTGACTGAGATGTTTAAAATAATGAAGGGAATTGACTAGCTGGATACGACTCATTCCTCTGGTGGATGGATTCAAAACAAGGGGATATTGTCTTCCCAGCAGGTTAGAAATGGGATCAAAACAGGTTTCTTCACATAGAGGGTGTGAGAATGTGGAATGAAGTCCTGAAGATCTGGAGAGGTAAAATCAATACGGATATTTGAAAGGAAAGCAAAGGTATTAAGAGGTGTGACAAAAAGGCATGGAAATGGGATGGAGAGAATTGCTGTGATCTAATTAACTGGTAGGAACAGACTTCATGGTCAGAATGGGCTGTCCTTATAAGCTGCTATCGTGTAATTGTATTTTTTCTTAAAAGACTTCATTACAGATATTTTTACATCTGGACTCAAAGAGGATCGGATTTCTGTCATCAACCTTCTGCTGTCAACCCTCAAAACCAAGGTATGCTGATCTCCATTTGGATTTCTGCATTTTGCACTTAAATCTCAATTTTAGTACTGCTTTCCAACGTAGTTTATTTGTATTGGGAAATTATTTATTCTACTTTACTGACACAGGAACAATGCCTTGACACTAGGTGTAAAATGTAATTCCTGCCATTGGAAATTGCTCTACCGTAACTCCATTTGAAAGTACCTGCATTTTAGATATTCTTGTCCCTAAGAACTTTGCTAACGGAATACAATTGTTCTCTTGTTTCTGTCTTGTAGGTTGTCCGAAATAAAGCCATAACTAAAACGCAGAAGGTTCGTCTTTTCACCCCAGGCATTTTGCACCATATCGCTTCACTGTTTTGCTGGAATGGAATTGTTGATGTGGAATTGAAAAATAGCAAGGTTAGTGCCGGACGTAATTCTAATTCATTAACAATAAGAATCCCTGTGTTTAATGCAGCTCTTTATCACTTCATCAAAATGTCTCGAAACTCTTTGCAGGATTTCCTGCGCAAATTTAGATGTCAACATAAAAGGATCAGCAGTTGTACATTGAAATTCCCAAATACTTGGACAATATCTGGAGAAGCAAAGCTATAAATTCGTTGAATAATAATAAACCTTGCATTTGATGTAGCCCCTTATCACATCTTCGAGACGTCTCAAAGCACTTCACAGGGTATACTGTAAAGTGAATTGCCTGTATATTTTGTGGGTGAAACTTGGCAGCCAATTGCACACAGCTGTGTCCCACAAACAGTTGTGGATTGAGTGACCAAATTGTTGTTATTCATTTTTGAAGGATCAATGAAAAAATAATGAATGTGATCACAATGCAAATGTAAAATGCTGTACTAACTACTCTACTAAAAGGTAGAGACTGACTAATTCAATAGCGTCCTTTACTTCCTGACAGCGCTTTGGGACGTCCTCCCGATGTGAAAGGCGCTCTATAAATGTAATTTTGTTGTTGTTAACAGGATACTCAGGACACTATGGCAACTGGGGAGGCCTTAGTTCGGGAACTTGTGCATAGCTTTTTGATGGATCTTTGCTGTTCGCTGAAACATGGCATTACTTTCTATGATCCTAGTCTCGGTACAGCCGGAAGGTAAGACCTTCACCATGAAGTCACCAGTATCAAACTCATTCTGAATATTATAGCATTTTCAATTCAAAGACGTGGAGGGTAGATTTTCTGCCCAGTAAATGTAACCACCTCGCTAAGCCGGGGAGGGTGGCGAGGAAGGATTGATGATGCTCTCTATTAACCGGTAGAATTATCAACTTTGTGCTAATATTGGGGAAATTCAGACTACCATGGTATGGGGCAAGATGACTTGAAACTTTTTTACTGCACATATTTGGGGATTACAATATACGTACCCCAGATTTTTTTTCCCCCAGTGTTATTAAATTTATTGTCGTTCACAGATGCTTTGCTTGAGATCCTCAGATGGCTCCTATATTGACTGATCTGTTCTTTTGCATTTGACTCTGCTTACACTTGCAGATTGGGAAATTTGGTGCTGCTGAGGTTCTTGGTGGGTTTAAAAACTGCGGCTGAGGACGATCTGGTGTCCGACCTGGTGGTGAATATCCTAACAGTGTGCCCGGACTTATTGAACCGTTTCTTCAAAGAGACCGGTGTTCCTTCGTGCCCAGAATAAAGACAGCCTGGCTCGATAACATCAAACTGCTACGAAAGGTCAGAGGACGTTGAATACTCACTGCGTGTTGACACAAAACCACTTATTAATATATAAGCTTCTATGTTGGCAGACTGTTGGTCTGCGAAGAGAATAGCAAATTTGGAATGCAGTGTATTTATTTTTCCCGTGAATGAATTCACCACAAAGCCTCTGTTAAATGTATACAAGTAGAACAATACTTTTCGGCTGCACCAAGACAGTAGAACAAGAGGACACTTGTTTAGGGTTGCAAAGGGCAATTTCAGGGCAGACACCAGAGAGTGTCTCTTTGCCCAGAGGGTAATTAACGATTAGAACAGGTTGCCAGGAAGGGTGGTTGAGGCTGGAACGCTGGATTGATTATTTTTTTAAAAAACAGCTTGATGTTGTGATGGGAAGATAGTAAGGTAGGTGTACTGGAAGGGTGAGATCATATGGGCCAAAGTGGTGTCTTGAACAAAAATTATTCACCTCATTCACGTCATGGCTGTTTGTGGTACATTGCTGTGTATAAATTTACTGCTTTGTTTGTCTACAAATGCAGTTACCATACTTCACAGTGAAGCACTTTGAGCTTTATATTTATTTTTCATATTTATTTGTCCAGCGCTTTTGGACGTCCTCCCGACATGAAAGGCGCTATACAAATGTAATTTGTTGTTGAGGTAACTCAACAATGTGATACAACACTATCAAATCCAAAGATCATTATTATTCATTCGAGCCTCTTTAAGATGTGCTTTCCTGTTTGCCACGAGCCTTCTAACGCATTCTCTTGTGTTTACAACTCTAGATTTACGAAGCCCAACCAGTGGTTTCCAAGGCCTTCAGGACCAAGGTGTTCGTTCCAATTCCCCGCCTCATCTCTATGGTGATGGTGACAACAGTGCCTCCCGTGGCCAATAAAGTCATGTTTGCTCAGGGACTCAATGTAAGGAGAAAAGCCTGTTCTGTTATTTTATATTCCTTGATGCCTGAGACTGTTCACGATGTGCAGCAAAGTGAAACACTTATCAAGATAGTCAAACATTTCTGAATGTATCCTGACCAGTTAACTTCCTATTTATGTTCCCTGCGGTCTCTAAATATACAAAGGAATTCTGTTAAACAAAGTTGGTTAGAACAGTTGAAGTGTGGTCAATAATAATGCAACAGGACTGAACTGACTTTCTAGCCTCCTTTGTAAAACGAAATGCTCCCACGTCAGGCATTGTCAAGGAGGGTAGTTCACATGTCCGTCCTTGTGTGGTTGGATCGTGGTTCTTTCTGGCTGCTGTGGAATTAGCGTTGCTCTTTTATGTATCGAGTGACTTGTGCTTCTTTGGAACAGAAGGGCACAGTACCAAAGTAGAACAAAAAGCTATTCACAGCAAGAGGTTGCCAACAACCATAGCATGTCAGTGTGGGGAAAATGCCACTTTGGTACAGTGAAGCAAAACAAATTGTAGGGAACTTGGGAATCTGGTATTGCCATTGGAAAAGATTTTGGAGTAATTTCCTTGTCTATTCTCCCATGCTGGCTGGGCAAAATAGAAGGGTTGGGGGAAACATAATAAAATACTAAGTCACTCACTTGCAGCACTGGTATGAGTGAACGAGTGGCATGTGCCTTGGGATGTTCTGACATGAAAGGCGTTATATAAATATATATTTTGTATTGATATTTTATTCTGTAGTTCCATAACTTCATTAAGAGCTTTCAAGTATAAATTTAAATCCCATATTGGGCATTACTACTAGTGACTTGTGTTCCAGTGAGGTTATTGGTCATAGCTACAGAGTGCAGAGGAGTATAGTTTTATATCATCTTGAAAGTATTTAGTTTTATACCTACATGCTGTTTCTATAAATTGAATTAAATTTTGAAGAATAGGCAACTATAATAATCCTTGCATTTGATGCAACTAAGAATTAATTTGCAAGGCAATAATCTCTGACAAGGGCTTTGAATATAGTAGACAAAGAAATGCTTTCCAAATAGCCTAGCTCACTCGGTAGCACTCTGGGTTAGGAAGTTGATGGTTCAAGCTCCCTCGTCGCAAATTTAGTTTATACCAGAGTGACATTCCAGTGCACTCCTGAGAGATGGGTGTATTTTTGGACGTGCTGTGCTTTGGCTGAGTCTATTTAAGTGGATGTTGGAATTCTTGACAATAGTCAATTCGCCTATAAATTACACAATTACTACGTTTTACCATAAATCCTGTAATGCATTTTGAAACATCTATCTGATGTGAAAGAAAGCTATGTCAAATGCAATTATTATTTTGTATAACTAGCTGAGAGTGTTCTTGGGGTGGGGGGGGGGTTCCTGGCCGACAATCCTCCAGATTAATTGGTTACTCATCTGATGCATATTGATGGGACCTTGTTGTGGGCAAATTGGCTACCCTGCAAAACAGTCACTACACATGACTTTTTAAGAGATGTTTTAGCTTTACAAAAATGTGAGTTGTTCCTTCTCATAAGATTACTATAGACAGAGAGGAAGTTCTGAAAAGATTGACTGGGCTCAAAATTCATAAGTCACCAGGACCAGATGGGTTTCATCCACGGTTGCTATGGGAGATACGGGTTCAAATAGCAGAGGCTTTGGCCTTATATTTCAATCTTCATTGGACACAGGAGTGGAGCCAAGAGACTGGAGAGTGGCTAATGTTACCCCCCTCTACAAAAAGGGGCAGAAAGACATACCCGGAAATTACCGGCCAGTCAGCCTAACTTCGGTAATAGGAAAACTACTGGAGACCATAATCCGGGACAGAATAAATCTCTACTTAGAGGAACATGAGGTAATTAGAGACCGCCAACATGGATTTGTTAAAGGCAAATCTTGCCTAACAAATCTAATCAAATTTTTTGAAGAGGTGACTGCGAAGGTTGATGAGGGAAATGCGGTGGACGTTATTTACATGGATTTCAAAAAGGCTTTTGACGCAGAATCGCATAAGAGTAATAAAAAAATTAGAGGCCCACGGTATTAAGGGGACAGTGGCAGTTTGGATTAAGAACTGGCTGAGTGACAGAAAGCAGAGGGTGGTGGTTAATGGGCATTTCTCGAAATGGAAGGAGGTGTGCAGCGGTGTCCCCCAGGGATCGGTATTGGGACCACTGCTCTTTCTAATATATATTAATGATCTGGACTTGGGCATAGAGAGCACTATTTCCAAGTTTGCAGATGATACAAAGTTAGGTAGGGTAGTAAATAGTGAGGAGGACTGTAACCAACTGCAAGCAGACATACACAGAATGGTGGAATGGGCTGACATGTGGCAGATGGATTTCAATGTGGATAAGTGTGAGGTGATACACTTAGGTAGGAAAAATGATAGGAGGCAATATAGACTTGGTAGCTCAATCTTAAGGGGGGTGAACGTACAGAGAGATCTGGGTGTTCAAGTAAGCGAATCATTAAAGGTAGCGGGGCAGGTAGATAAGGCAGTAAAAAAGGCATTTGGTGTACTGAGCTTTATTAGTAGGGGCATAGAGTATAAGAGTAGGGAGGTTATGGTTAATCTATACAAAACACTGGTTAGGCCTCAGCTGGAGTACTGCGTCCAGTTCTGGGCACCTTACTTCAGGAAGGACATTAAGGCACTGGAAAGGGTGCAGAGGAGATTCACGAGAATGATACCAGGAATGGGGAACCTTAGCTATGTGGACAGGCTGGACTTAGGACTTTTCCCATTAGAGCAGAGAAGGTTACGCGGGGACCTGATAGAGGTCTTCAAGATCATGAAAGGTTTCGACAGGCTAGATAAGGAAAAGCTGTTTCCGCTGGTAGGTGTGTCTGTGACCCGTGGTCACAGTCTTAAGATATCTACCAAAAGAAGCAGAGGGGAGGTTAGAAGAATTTTTTTCACTCAGCGAGTTGTTCGAATTTGGAATGATCTGCCTGAAAGGGTAGTGAAGTCCGATTCGATAACAGCTTTTTAAGAGAGAACTGGAAAGGTATCTGGGGAAGACGGGTTTGCAGGGTTATGAGGAGAAAGCTGGTGATTGGGGTTAGTGAAAGTGACTTGCTCTGTCAAAGAGCCGGCGCAGACTCGATGGGCCGAATGGCCTCCTTCTGTGCCGTAACATTCTATGAAAAAATAACCGTTTGAAGAGTTTCTATGGCTGTCCAAACATTAAATGAGCTTCTGTTCTGTATTACTGCAGCTTCCAAATAAGGCCGTCCAGCACACCACTCTCTCCCTGCTTGCATTCGTTCTGAAGAGGGCTCTCAAGAATATTGAGCATTGCCTGAACGAGGACGAGTGGGAAAACTCTGAGATCTACACTCCCAGCGTGATGAAGGACGTTGCACAGCAGTACAGAGAGGCTGTAGGCAAGGTACAAATAACAGCAGCGATTGCCCAGGAACAATTGAAAGAATCAGAATTTGTTGGCAGTGAAAGAAAAGCTGGGAGGATCCCAGTAGCTGAAGTCCTGAGAAACTGGGCTATTCGCACCCAGGTCCTTATTTGAGCTTCTTCCAGATGAAAACGTTAACTCCAGGGAGGGACAAAATTTGCTCCGTGGTCACTCAAGTTTGCCTCCTGATGGGTCATTTGAAGAGTAACATTGATGGCCAGGGCATTTATACCAGTAGTGGCCAACCTTTTAGAATACATTCTCTTGATTGATTGTTTCTTCGTTTATTGCCGCGCTATGGGCATCACAGCTTGGTAGCTCCTGGAAAGAAGGCGTTGATTTGGAATGAAACTGGTGAGAATGTCGGCAGGCCTCTTCTTGACGGCACACGCGGGCCATTTCCAGCCCATGGCCCTTAGATTGGCCACCACTAATTGATACCCAAGGGCTTGAGTACAGCATCCGTTATCCTAATACACACACATTGAATTCAATGGGACGGGGTTTCGGGGATGGGGCGGGAATTGGGTGCACACAGCAAATGAGTAGTACACAGTGGGAGCTCCAGTAAAATATAGCCAAGCAATTTTGCCGTGGGTAGCACATTGTAAGCGCAGCATTTGATAAGCATTTCAGCCCGTAAATACTATGCTATAATTTACTATGGATTGAAATGTGAAATTCAAGCTTTTATTTTCTTTTTAAAAAATGTGTATTTGCTTTTCTCTATGTAGCTATTGCCAGACATGAACAACATTGTATCTAGTTGGCAATCCCTTCTTAAGAGTGAAGACAAAGGAGAAAAGAGAGATGAAAAGCAAATGAAGAACGTTCCAGTAGTGACTGATGATCTAAGTGGATTTCACGGTATGATTTCCTTCTGGGAGGAGGGAGGGAGGGATTTGTGCTTTGTTTTAAAATCTGGCAGAATAATAAAGAAACGAATAGGAGAACTGCAAGAAACAATGCTTGTCTCTTTACTAGAAGCTCTTGAATATGAGTGGTGTTTCTTGGTCAAAGTCCACTTGTCTCATTTAAATGAGCATTGTCCATTCCTTATTGATCAAACTGATCGGGTTCGTTGAATCAGTTGGGAAGAGCGATTGAAATGGAGCCACGTCACCCTCCCCCAGCTCTCCTTTGCTGGAATCACTCCCCAAGTAGGTGATCAAGAAATATAATTGGCTACAGTGAAAAGGGCAGGTTACTCTGCACCAACAAGAACTGCAGCGAGTTGGGGTGGGGGAGTCGATAGAAAAGGTAGCGGCTGAACAAAATACAAACGTTATATACAATTTCTCTCTCAGTATATTCTCGAATCTAACTTCCGGGCTATTCATTCCTCTGATTTGTGAGCTTGGCTGAATTTTTCCCGTGGAGTATATAATATTGCCTGGTTTCCTGCAATCCATATTCTTAACTATTTGAGTTTAGGAAAGGCTGACCCAGAGTTTCTGTATCCCATTGCAGGTGCAGATGATATTGAAACCACTGTTCTGAAGGCACTTCTGCTCCAGGTCATGTGCCTTTACCAGAAGGTGGTCCCTCATGTGGTTTCACAGTGCACATTTGATTTCAGTAAACTGCTTAAAGGTATGTATGTAAGCACTTTGTTTCACCTCACAATGGTACAGTTGCCAGCAATGTGTAACTGGGAAGTCAAAGATTGACCACCTCGGAATAAATGATGCTAAAGGCGAACCGTCACAGTACATCAGTAAAAGTGTCTATATTATGCAAGATTTGTATCTACAATTCCTCAGTCTGATCTCACTGAACCAGCCAAGCTTGATTATTGGAGATCTGTCCAACCTGTCTCATCAGAACCAATTGTCTGGGTAATAAGGTTGGTGGGTTGAAGCCCTACATTGAGATTTTGAGATTACTGTCTGGGCTGCCACTCCAGTGCAGCGTTAAGGAAACGCTACATTGCTGGAGGTCTTGCAACAATAACAGCAAATTATATTTGTGTAGCGCCTCTCACGTTGGATGAGATGTTAAGCCTAGGTTTTGTCTGCTAATTAAGGTGGACTTCAAAGAACCCATTATTATTTGAAAAGAGAAAGGGCTATAAGCAAACCTGTGGTGGTGCTGAGAGGGTTGTGGTGGGTGTAGTAATCCAAAACAAAAACACGTTGTTTTAATTGCATATCCTGTTTGGCAAGTAACCATTGAATAGGAAGAAAAGCAAAAAACTGCTTGGCTAGTGACAGCCAAGATGTTGTTTTCAATCTCATCCACACATTCATCACATCTAGGCTCGACTACGCCAACTCTCTGCTTGTTGGCCTTCCTATCTCTTCCCCCCACAAGCTGCAGATCACCCAGAAATCTGAAGCACCTGGTCTGTCTTGCACCAGGCTCTGTGACTATCGCCCCCACCCTGGCCCGGCTCCACTGGCTCCTCATCCCCCAGACGATAGAGTTCAAAATCCTCGTTCTCGCCTTCAAGGCCCTCCACAGCCTTGCTCCTTTCTACATGCTAGCCCCATATCAACCTGTCCGCTCCCTATGGTCCGCAGGCTGCGGTCTGCCCCACATCCCCCACCCGCCTGACCCTACCATCGTTGATAGGGCCTCCCTGATTCCCAGCTTGGGTCCAAAAAATCCCAATTTAAATTTGTTTATTTCGTTCACTGCTGTTTATGTGCGTTGCTGGCACGGATTAGCTGCCGTGTTTGCATACATAACAAGAAACTTGACATGTCAGCGAACCTCATCGTAACTTGATTGGGACATGTTGGCATGATGAGGCCTGTTATTAAAAGGAAGCATTTTATTTTCGACTGCAAAACATACAGTCAATTCACTTAATCATATATTCTGAGAAGCGCTTGAAAGCATCTCAACGATGTGATAAAGAGCTATATCAAATGCAAGATTACTATAGAATTATTATTTTTCTAGGCATTGTGAGTGAGGATGGAGTGAGAGAAGAAGTTCCTCCCATTTTACAACACTGCATCCTACAGCTGGCCCTGGAGCTGCCTGCCAATAAGTTTACATGGTTCAGAGTTCAGGTAAGTAATGTGAATCAATCTGTGTGTCTGGTTACCATTTGGGGGAGTAACATTGGACAAACCAAATTTTAGGAAATGTTCAAAATCTTAGTTCATAGAGGGTTATACGGCACAAAATAATGCTTAATTTGGTAATCGTGTTCTGACGGGAATAGTGTGTAGTTTTCTACTGTACCATCTTTGAACTGAGCTCTGACAACTTCAGTGGACAGTTGAGCTTCCACAAATTACATGTAAATGGCGTAAGAGCAGATAACCGTTGATCGATCACATCAACAGTTGCTGGCTGTTTAAAATAGGTTTCACTTTATTTTACCTAAAGCCTGTAATGAAATTCAATGAGATGCTGGTTCACGTTAGGCAGAGTTCGCACAATCAGTAGATTGAAGAATTGTGCATGTTCTACCCCTTAGCAACTTATGTGAACTTTTCTTTCAAATACAGGATATCTCGAATACAGAGCCGAGCAGCGGAGAAAAGCCTGTGTTTTATTTGCTCCTAAAAATGTTTGTGACTAGTCAGAACCCTCGACTGCAAGTATCAACCAAGCAGCTGATCATAAAGGTGAGGCCTCCAATTGATGTTTAGTTCTAGCACTTTGGCTGTAACGCTACAATTAACACTTCTGTTCATTGTGCAGAAGCCGAAAGGAAAATGTTTTGTCCCACAGACTCAATGCACAAAGACTTCAAGGCAGCTCTGTATAATTGATTTCCTGATGCTGTGTGTTGTCTGTTTGCTATAAAGTTTATGCTCTATTTTTATGAAGCAAAATATTGCTGTCTCCTTGTCACATTCCAGAATAACTCAAGGCACCATGGTGATCTGAATTGATCATTTGTCCCAATTTTGAATGCATCAATTATACACTAGATGATGAACTTTTGGCTGCTGTGCCAGGAGCTTGCTTTGAACCAAGCCAGGCACTTAGTTATGGAAGTATATTCAAACTCTGTTCTTGAGGCCCCATCCACATCAAAGATCCCGGGTTATATCTAGTCTTTTGAGCAGTTGTTCAGAGTCGAGCTTCAGACTTTCTGTCCATTCCTGTCGTGATGGCTATCAATCGCAGGACCAACTAACATGCACAGGGTGTGGAACTATCTGCATTTTAAATATTCTATTTGGAGGAGATGAAAGATTGTGAACATCACCCCTTCATTTTTCTGTTCAGTCGCAATTCAGATGAATTCTGCAATTGTTTTAAGGTCCAACTCTTAGACTAATGATTCAAATACAGTTTATCTTTGGGATTATAGTGAAAGTCAGATGGGTCCTCCTGGGGCTGGACTGTACTATGAGGAGACAAATCTAGAACAAAACATCCAGGTGACACTGCAGCCAAACTGCACAATTTGCCAGGTGCTGGAAATGGTTGTTGCATTTGCCTCCAAAAAAACAACGATTTTACATTTATGTAGCGCCTTTCATGTCAGGGGATGTCTCAAAGCACTGCACAGAGCTGGACCAGGAGCCCAGGCTCTTGTCTTTAATCTTGACAGTAATTACTGTAAAATAATTTTGAGACATTTCAAATTAATACGGTTTTGTGACAACACAAAGTTAACTGGTAGAGTGATGTGTGGTTACCTTCATATACATTTGTCTTCCCAATGGACTGTTCTAATGATTTACATACATTTTTTTTTTCCTGGTTGACGTATTCAAGTGTCATGTGTCACCTTTTTGCCCCTGTTTAGCTTTTGAAAGACAGTGGTATATTTGAGCACACTTGGAAAGAACTGGAGCTTTGGTTACAATGCCTTCGATCCGTCTCTGAAACCGAACAAGAGACTGTTGTCCTGTTCCTTGAAAGGGTAAGTAAGTATGGCGCCCATGGTAATGTTAACTTGTTTCATTCAAAGCTAAAACACTGAATCATAAATATTGTACTTATCCAATGAGAACTAGGGATAATTCAGAAGACAATGAATGAGGTGAATGTGTCAGGCAACACAGGCAAGAGGGCTTGTCTTCCTTACCATTAGTTTGATTTGATGGATCTGTTCAGACATGATGATAATAATAATAATCCTTGCATTTAATATAGTGCCATATCACGTCTTCGAGACATCTCAAAGTGCTTCACGAAAATAATGTGTAGTGAATGTGTGTTTTGTGGGTAAAACGCGACAGCCAATTGTACACAGCAGTGTCCCACAAAGAGTCGTGGATTGAGTGATTTATTATTATTATTATTTTCTGTGGGATTGCCTGGACACAGAGCCTGTGCTGGAGCCGGTGTTGATGTGAGATGCCCTGACAGGTGGGAATCGCTCACGCTCTCACCTGGTTTTCGTAGAGCTCAGCCAAGCATTGCTGATAGCGATCAGGCCGGTGAGATCGGGCAGATGATACAGGCTGAGGCGGGGCCCCAGCTCCCTCATTGAGATGATGATGATAATAATAATAATCCTTGCAAGCCGTCCAGTAGCACGTGAGCCCCCAGCCTCATGGTTCCCTGTGGCGACGACAGTGGTGCATTTCTTCTCCCTGGAGTTTTTGCCAGATTAAACACTCAGTGGTATTGAGGACTAAAACAGTGATGACTACAGTAGCTTTTTTTTCTACACAATGATTTACTATTGTGTGTGTGAGTAACAGTAATGTGTGAGCGTGATTTATTTTGAACGTCCAAATTACTAGTACAAGTAATCCGAGATCTTAACAAAGTTAATCTTATTAAATCCTAGATCTTAATAAAGTTAATCTCCAACCCATACCCCCACACGGACAAGACTTCAGATATCACACAGGAAGCCGGCATGCTGCAGGTGAACTTCAGCGGCCAGGACTCTGACAGTATCAGCATGCCAATCTCACACATTGACGGTGAGCGTGGACGGGGGCCACGGGACACTGAGTCTACTGTAACCCTTCGAAACAGGCAGCCTGTTGCTACCGGCACAATTGAATTTGCTGTAACTCGTCTGATGATAACTCATTTTGTCTTTGGTGTCTGTCTGGTAGAGGAAGAAATAACTTATTTAAGTCCTGCCCCTGGAGGACTAATGCTGCTTTTAGCTGTTCTGATGTTATCTTTATGACTTGAAGTGGTTGCATTTAATGGGAACATCCTCGGGCAGAGCGAAACCTTCCCTTATCTGATCTTCCTTATTCTGAAAGCCCCTTTTGACTGGTGATCCTTGAGTAGAATTTGTTTTCAAAGGAAAAGGAAAAAACATGCTGCAGTGTAATTCTGAGTTCTGGTAATGGGAGTGACGATAACCGGGTGAGTGGTCAGGATAAGGCGCTGACAACTAGGCTGCTGCACTCTAATGAAACTACAGTTCTTGGCTACACTTAGATATGATGTTGTGACATTTCATGCATAGTGAAGTCATAATTTCTTTGCTTGCAGGGAACTTGTAATGAGGTAGGGGTAGAGAGAAATTCAACCTGGGTCTAGACTCTCACTATTTTCTTAGCATTCAAGAGCTTGCAGAATTTGGTAAATTCTTAATTTTGAAGCCAGTTTTCTTTTTAAGAACTACAACAAGAAAAGGTTTCTTTTGGGGAAAAAAAGATTGAATTGATGAATTTGCCAACTCAGTAATAATAATAACATTCCTAGCATTTAATACAGTGCCTTGTCACGTGGAGATGTCTCAAAAGTGCTTCGCAGAATATACTGTGAAGTAAATTGACGTTGTATTCAGTGGGTGAAATGCTAAGAAAATAATGCAGGTGAAATTTCTCCCTCTTGAAGTTACAACAGAGCTGAGAGAATGTCTGATGACTTTAGTGTCTGGCTTTGCACTACTGCTATCTGCAATAAACCAGGTATAACCTGCTCATTTTACGCCAGCATTGAGTAGTTCCAAGAAGCAGTAAAGAATGAGTTATGCTGAGGAGTAAATGTTGCCCTTAACTGAATTTTGTCTTAATTCAATGCTGTCATGTGGTCCTACAAGCCCTTCCCCCATGCTGAAATAAACACTCAAGTCATCCTTCAATTGTAAGAACTGAAACCCATTATATTCTTTAATTCTCATAAAATCTGCAAGTTTTAAAACCCAACATTGTGAACCCTAAACTACAATTGCAACTTCCTGGTTTATCTTGTTCTTCCTCTTCGGATCTCTGTTTGGGGATGTGATTTTCCTCGCTTGGTCCTTTGGTTAGCGTTTTCATCTTTTTATAACAACTTTTTTTAAAACTGATGATTATTCCAACTTTAAGTGTAATTGTTCTCTGATCTTCTCTTCTTATTCCATTCTCCCCCCACCCCCCAGATGTATTGGATATGGTGGATGTGATTGTGGAGAACAGTGAAGGTCTGGACGAGGAGATTGGATTCAACCTTAGCAAGGATATGATTACGCAGATCTTTCCGTTCAGTCCTGTGGTGTCTGTAGCTTTGGAAACCAGGAACAAAATTATTTCAGCAAACGGCAGTGAAACAGGTGAATATGGCATTGGAAGATCATTGAAAGCAGCTCCACCATCGATGGCTGATCCTGAATTGAACCAAAGCCTTGCAGCTTTAACCCTATAGAAATATTGCTGTTGGCTTTATTCTTTTCTGTTTCAAATACTATTTCTGTCTCAGGGTTAGTGCTTATGCAAGCATTAATGTTGCTGCATTAACTCTCAGGATAGGAAGCTGTAGCTTTTTCCCCTCCCTTTACATTCAGGTGGTTTCATGGGATCGTATCCTAATTGCAGTTGAACAGTTAATCGAAAACTGTAGTGAAGTCTCATCATAACACATTAATTGGATCTATAAAATCCCAATCCAGTCATCACGGGAAAGCTGAGATGAACCTGGTCAGCTCCTGCACTTAAAAAATAAAATGGCCGGCTAATAGGACGTGACGTCAACCTGATAACCCAGAGTCGGACATTTTTTAGCCTGAGAACCAGCCAGTGCGCAAGACTGAGAACCAGCTGTGTACACGTAGTAGATCGGGTCCACACTCCATTCACGCTTTAAATTAACACGTGTTATAACAGAGTCAGTTGAACGTGCAATAAGGATCAGCCTCGTGTAGGGACTGTTTTGTGGAAAATAGTGTTGCCTTTTCTGTTGTGCCCATCCACTTCACACTAATGACAAGATTCCCTTAAAATTTCTGCCCACTTGCTGATGGAGATCAGAAGCTAAGTGATCGTTATTGGATGACTTCTTTAAGTTAGTCAAGGATTCTCCAAGTAAGGATGAGACAGGAGTGGATGAAATTTTTAGAGTTTGGGGTAAGGTAGTGGAGGCTGTTCAATCTGAATTTAGCATTTGGAGACTTAATTGATTAGTGAATGGTCAGAGTGGGTTTCCACAAAGTGGATTTTGGTTTGATTTTACTGTGCTCCTTTTTCAGAGGCTGTTTTGCGATACCTCGCAGGGACCCTGACTGCCATCCTGCACGTGCAACTCGATCCGTTGGCCTTGTGTCTGATGTTGCACGCGTACGACAAGGAGCTGGATTCACTGCCTGAAAACCAACCACCCAAAAGTGTTCTTCAGCTCTATAAATATTACACGCGCTGGATCCCAGAGCGAACCAAGGAAGCACTGGTAAGAGGTTACATTGTTAAATGGGTTCACTCTTCCATCAGGATTTAAAGACTATACGGATTGAAAGCCCCAAGTGTGTTAGTGCAGCATTCCTGGAATAAACTTCCAATACCTTTGATTTGTCAATTGTGTTCACGATTCATATTTTAAAAGAAAGGTTTTATGGAGAAGATCCCATCTCATCCTTCCAGAATACCAGTCCTGCCATCCTCCCATCATATCATCAGCCTGGCTCAGTTAGTAGCACTTTCTCTTCCCAAGTCAGAATTTTTTAGGTTCAAGTCTCACGTCTGGAGTTAGAACTCGTATATCATGACACTGGGGGGACGGGGTGCTGCATTGTTGGAGGAGCCATCCTTCAGATGAATTATTAAACCGGGATCCTGTCTGCTTGCTCAACAACAAGAACAACATTTACATAGGTGTCACAGAGTACTCAGGTGGACATTAAAGATCCCATGGCACTATTCAAAAGGAACAGGGAGTTTCTCCCGGCGTCCTTGTCAACAATCCCCAAAATAAAATTGCTCATTTTAATTCATCGCTGTTTGTGGGACGTTGCTGTACGTATAATTGGCTGCCACAATTGCCTACGAAATGCAGTTACGACTCTTTAGGGTCTATCCTGTAAAGAGCTCTGAGATGTCCTCAATATGAAAGTCACAATATCAAACGTTAGCATTATAATTAGCAAGCTGTTTCCTAAATGAATGCATTGTCCTGGCTTTAAGCAGAGTTTAAGCTGTTAATTACACTATTCATTATAAGTTAGAAAGGAAATGCGAGTATTTGAAGTGTAATGAATTATAAATTGGTAGAAGGAAAGAGCAGGAAATTGGAATTAGGACTTTCAGCTCCATTAGAGGAGGGATCGCCAGCCAGTGTTCTCCTATGCTGTGATTTCTAGGGTTGTATATGAATTTTCCTGGAAAAGCCTTGATTTTATGGGCATGTTTGAATGTTTTTTCAAGTCATTTTAATGTAAATTTTTTGATTAGTGTAATTGATTCAGTAATAATTCACCGGTACTGCCTTGTGCATTATAGCAGAATGCAAGTGAGAACTTGCACGAGCTATACTTTTATAGGTGTAGCTCATATTTCAACTCTTAAATATTTTAGCAATGTTTTTAATGCTTTTTAAAGTAATTGTACTGATAAATAAAATTGTGTAAATATTTTATCTGTTATTTTGTTAAGAGAACCAAATTTTAGTTTATGGGAAAATATTATCTAGTTCATTGCTTTTCATTTCTAGTTCTTTCCATGAATACTTGAAACGAGTCTATAGTCATCCGTAGTTCTGTAGAATTCTGTTTCCGCAGTCTCTGCATTCACATCAATTTGCACGGATTGCTATTACTTTAAATAAAGCTAAGCACATCTGCTGCCGTAGCCTCTGGGACATTAACATAGACCCACAGACTTGAGGCTTTTGTGATGTCCGTTCATTGCACGCCATAGAGCTGCACACAGAGAAGATTCTTGCTTCAACTGAAACAATGACGACAGAATTACATGTGTATAGTACCTTTCACATCAGGACCTCAGTTTAATTGCACATAGATATTGATGACTTACGATAGCCAAAAATCACAAGTTGCAGTTAATAATATTTCCTGTAAAGTTTACCGGATGCAAATGTGATGCTCTCAGATTGCATGGGTGTTACAAAAAAAATTAATTGTTTCAGCTGTTCAGAGAAATTGTTATTGTTTTTTGATCACAGTTTGAACGGTTCGATTTGGACAAGGTTCACCCTGCTCCGTTGGCGGAGGCTCCGTTCTCTGTTCTTCTGAAGGACGCCTACGAAAAAGAGGGTGACGTGCTTGTAAAGAACAAGACGAAGGAGAAACTGAAGGAGGCGATTGCCCGGCTAGATAAGTGGGAGCTGGCTCTGGCTGTGAAGCACCTGATGCTCTACATACGGACCTGTGTGGAGAATTTTAACAAAGTGTGTACAGCGCCGCTTTGCTATTTGGGAATGATCACACAAAATGGCGTGTATGGCCAGAAACCGCGCTGGGGTGGGGGTGGGGTGGGGGTTTAACTTTCAAATAATCTTGTGCCAGCGTTACTGCAATTCACTTCCTCAATCAATTGGTTGCTCTCCAGGACCTCACCCCCTCTGTCAACATTAGAGGGAAAATAACAACAAGAACAACAACAACAAGATTCCATTTATTGAGCGCCTTTCACGTCGGGAGGACGTCCCAAGGCGCTGAAATAATAAGTATTCCCTATTGCTGTGGCAGTGGGAAACATTGACCCAAATGTTAATGTATTCCAAGGGTTGCAGTGAGGAGACATATTCTCATAGGTGAGGTCTTTGAACCTTAGAAGGAAAAGGAGTCAAAACCCCATCAGGGTGTTTTGGTCATGAACGTTACTGGTAGTAAAGCATTGATTGACTGATTGGAGTCATTTTACCCACAATGTTGCAGGGTTTGTAAGGTATCCACTAAGTCCAAATGCTGTTCAGGGTTAGTTCTAATTGGAACATCTGTTCATTGCCTTTAGCAGTACTGTGTAGGCAGCAGTGTACCACGTTAGCATTTGAGATCTAGTTTCATTTATTTCAGTCTTCCAAAAGCTGAGCAAGAGTGACTGGCAGATTGCCCATCCCTACCCTACATAAACAGATCGTCTGGCATGCACTTGCATTGCTCGGGCCCCGGCTGTAGATCATTTTGCATAAAGTGTAGCACTTTGCTTACGCTAGATCAGTTTAGTACTGCATTAGTCATTAGTTAATAGTTTAGTCATAAATTACAAATGGAACCTTTGAGGCATTCACCGACAGAAGAATACACCACAAAGCAGCTTAGGTACTGATGCACTCCGTGTCTTATTACATGTCTAGAAAAAGATCCTGCTTGAGAATATTCTCTGCTTTGATTATGAAGCTTGTTTATCCTTGTGGTCCACTGTACATTACAAGTTTGGGTGGGGTGCTGGTGCTTCTCCACATCATTAAGATGCCTAAAACAGCATAACCACCTGAATGCATATTTGCCTAAAGCTGCACAGTTAGTCCGTTCCACAAATAATGGACTAAGCTTTAAGATCATGAATTTCTTTCAAAGCAGCGCCCGTTTGGGGATTATATGGGACATTATAAATGAACATATTTCCTAAATTCAAGTGAGTGAATTTTCTGAAAAGTTTCATGTGCCTGAAATGTCTTCTCTAGCTAGTTTTCGTTTTGTATTTCAGGTGAGGAGAGACACTGGTATAGTATTGATTGAACTCTTTATGGATCTGTTGAAATTGCTGCTGCAGCAATACGAACAGACCAGTCCCAACATCCAGGAGAAGTTGGGGGAAAAGGACAAAAGTGAACTGCTTATTGACCTTGACCCAGCGGCTGATGAACTTACTAAGAAGCAGGTACTCCCCCGTGTGATTTCAATCTACAGTCTGCAAAGAGATCAATGTTCAATCTCGATGATATTACAATCTTTTTGATGAATGCAGTAATGTTCCTACACAAATGTCAACAATACGGTGGCTGTGAAATTAGTTCTAAACGTACCTTTAAGTAGATTTGGAAATTTACAGATAAATCAAATGGTCACACAGCCTATGCACTGCGGTGCTCAAGTAATGGTTTCTCAACAAGGAAAACGGTGTTAGAAATGTAGAATGCTACAGCACAGATGCAAGCTGTTTGGGCCATCCAGTCTTTGCCAGGGTTTTTCTCCATATAATAATAATAATAATAATATGAGACTCATTTGCATATTTTCAAGTATTCTATCCAATTCCAACAGTCTGGCAGATAATTCCAAATTCCACTCATCTTCTGCGCAAATAGATTGCTTCTAAGATCCCCTTTATTCGTTTTCATGCTGTTGGTCGGACGGTTCCATCTCGAGAGGGAGAAGAAAGTGCTTTCTCTCTGCTTGCATCTCCATCACACTTTATGCGGGTCGCAATAATAATGAACCTTTGTTATAGCGTCTTTCACGTCAGAGGACATCTCAAAGCACGTGACAGAATATATCGTAGGGCGGCTGTGTTTCTGTGGGCGAACGCAATTGACGGCACATGCAAATGTATCAGTCTGTAGGCAGAGGGGAGTAGTGCAGATTAAGTCTCGGAGAAAACTACAGTGTAGTGTTTCTTTTTTGCATAGAGTGCATTTTTATGTAACTTAAAACCACAGTTACTCTCCGTACTGAAGAAGTAAAAAGACACCACCCCGTGTCCCTGAGAGTTCCTCTCTGTTCTCATAAACAACTAAAACTTTTTATTAATAAAAAGTTATACTGGGCTTGTGTAGTTTACTGGGCATTTGCTCACTGCTTGTAACTGTTAATTTCAGGCTCTGGAGGACATGTTGCTGTCGGTGTTTAAACATCCCACGCTGGAGCAGTGGTTCCTGGGTTTGGAATTGCAGTCGCTGCCACCCCACAGCCTCAACCCAGTGAGTCTCAAAATGCTGTCACACCAGCTGAATTCTGGCATCCTGAGCCTCCTTAAACTGAGTACCCCAAACCTGCTTAGCCTTGGGCGCATGGATGCTGTGATAAATTATTTTAAGGCTGTAGCCACCAGTGCGTTGAAGGAACTTGAAATGATAAAGAACGTTGCAAAGAAGCCGAGAGCGACCGGCAAGCAGTCCTTGACTTTGGAAGCCCTGAAGGATCTGCACACGTACATGGATGTGCCTCAGCTCAAAGAGGTGGTGGCGTCCATGTTACAACTACCAGAAGAAAGTCTAACCTTGCGCAGCACGTCAGAGAAAGGCACTGATACAGTCAAACAGTTGAGCTTGTACGGGAGGACGTTGGTCAAGATTCTTACAGGAAATCGGCAGAAAGTCCCGGAGGCGGGAGAGCTGGCGTTGTCATGTGAGCACATCAGAGGTGTGGCAGTGCTGTTGGAGTCCTCGAGCAGTAACGAGATGGAGAGGGTTCTCCTCGACGCCCTGGAGAAAGAGCCCATCTTTGCACAGATGATAAGGGTGGAGCTATCAGTCCACTGCTTGAACCGCATGACGACAACATCCCTCTCTATCACTGCCTTCCTCATTCGCCACAGTAGGACTCACCTTTTGCAGTTTGAGCTTTGGTGCCTGGATTCAGGGAGAGTCAAACACCTCCAAAGGAATATGGATGCCTACCTTTCAGTTCTTGCTGCGTACTTGCAGTATGCAGGACAGAGTGACACTGCACGACCAGGAAGAGGTGACTGCTTTATTTATTACTTGATGTACTTGCTTTTAATTACTTGTTAACTTTTTTTTTGGAAAAAAAAACTTTCCAGTGGTCTAATAGATTTAGCTAGACAGTTCACCAAACCTCACCTTAACAGTTGGCCACAACTGAACACTCTACTCGTGCTTTGTCACGAGTACAAAAAATACACCGTCCATAAATACAGTCGCTCAGTTTCTTAATAATCCTTGCACTTGAAATAGCGCCTTATCGCGTCATTGAGACATCTCAAAGCATTTCACGGAATATATTGTAAAATAGTGACTGTATATGTGAGTGAAATCCGGCAGCCAATTGCGCACAGCAGTGTCCCACGTGCAGTCATGGCTTGAGTGACCAATTAGGAATCGAACCTGGGTCCTCTCGCTTACGAGGCGAGCGTAAATCACTAGGATACAGGGCTCCACGCTAGAATTGTGTAGCACAAAAGGAGACATTTCAGCCCATCAAGTTTGCTTTGTCTCAGAACAAGAAGTTCATTCATTCCCACTGACCTGATTTATCCCCACACAACTTGAAACATCTATCTTTCATATACAAGTCTGCTTCCCTCTTGAAATCCCTTAAATACATAATTATCATGTTCTGCGCTTGAGGGAGTTCCCATAAGCAGGGAGCTTAAACCAGCTGATAAATGCATCAAATCACAATGACCCGGGTAAGTAGAACTTCATAGCACGAGTTACAATACGTTCTCATCTTAACAGTGTTCACCAACGTCCTGGGGATCCTGAAAAAGGCATTATGGAAGAAACTGCTAAACGCTGTCGTGTCCAACGCTGCATCAGATCAACTCGAGGTACAGATAGAAATACTTTCCAAACTGATCCAGCTGTCAGCAACACAAGAAGACATGGCGAGTATCTTGGAACAGCTGCCTGCACAGCTGGAAACAACAAAAAATGCTTCAAGGTAACCGTCTGCTACAGAGTAAATTGGGCTATTTTAATGAGTGTGCAAATAGCCTCAGTCTTATTCTGAGGCCTGTGGAAGTTGACATGGTCTTAGCCATTTTTTTTTTAAAAAACTGCTTCCAAATTAAGACTGAATTTATGTATTTTCCGAAATTCTGCTCCAATGTTAAATTTCAAGATCAACATCCATTGGGAGTTCAGGGCCTCTTAGTACTCAAACTACAAAGCTTTTCGTCTAAACCTGTTGTGCAATAATGATACACCTGTATAGCTAATATTTTAATATCGGTGAATTTTTCTTTAGACGCACTGGAAAAAATGTTTGAAAATGTATATGAAGTGCGATATCTTTGCTGCATCCTCTCGGTTTCAAATATGAAAGTATCGTCAAATGAGGAATGAATGTATTTTCTTTGTTTTGCGTTGGTGTGGGGGGGGGAACAGGGTAGGGAGGATTGCAGTTGTAGTTGGATCAATACGGATAGTGTAAATAATGTACCTGAGGCAGTGATGGTCAACCTTTTTGGTCAGCCAACAAAATATATTTTTCTGATTGAATATTTCTTGATGACGGGCATCTAGAAACCCACAGTAGATCAATCTACATACAAGAGAGGAAGACAATAACAAGTTGCATTTATATGGTGCCCTCCACATAGGATAGTGTCTTGGAGCCATCAAAGACAGGCTTAGGTCTCACATATGTCAATGAAGCCTTTCATTGAGGCTATGGCCCAAGTATTATCTTATCTTTCTCTTTAGGATTCTGATAAATCTGCTGTGGATTTTCAACATCTGTAGTGTTTTTTTTCTCTTTACGTCTATTTTCGTATTACCACACTGTTTGCTCAAACCTTTTGTAAATGTGTGTTAAAAAGTGAAACGTATGTCTGTAAAGCAAAGTTCCCAGAGTCCTGTAGCTCAGTGGTTAGAGTATTCATCTCGCAAGCGAGAGGAACTGGGAGTGGAAAACATTGGGCAAGTTTCCTTACTCCACGCTCCTCGGTTTGCCTAGCAGTAAGTAGGAACCCTGTTGTTAGTCGATTGGTGAATCGTTTTTTCGGGGGTAATAATTTCTTCAAAAAAAAAAAAAATTGATCACTTAATCCACAACTGTTCGTGGAACACTGCTGTGCGCAATTGGCTGCCGCGTTTCGCCCACAAAATATATAGTCAATTCACTTTACAGTATATTCTGTGAAGTGCTTTGAGACGTCTAGAAGAAGTGATTAGGGGCTATATCAAATTCAAGTATTATTATTATTATTCTCTTGCTTTAGGTGGGTGTTGGCAGATGCAGTCACAGTGGCTATCAGTAGAATCGCGGGAGACCAAGACTCCTGGCAAAAGTGCCTCTTGAAGGCTTGTGTGCAGTGGTTAATCAACAACTGGACCAGCAGCAAGGAGCAGAAACAGGACATGAAGGAGACGGAAGAAGTAATGCTGACCAGGTTACAGGAGTTGATAGTGAGTGTCATTTGTAACTTTATTCTTCTAAATCATGCACCACTTCATTTTGGGGCTAGTTTTGCAGCGGTTTTATCCTCACGGTTGATGTTTTTCAGGGAATCTCTTCTTCAAAAATGTTTTTACTAAATAGCATCACTAAGGTCTCGATTTTACAATACAAATTGACACTGATACAGCACATTCACTTCGGGAGGACGTCCCAAAGTCTTACAACGCTGGTTACAGGAGGAAGCCAGTGGGGAGGGGAAAGCTAACTGAAATCACGGTCAAAAGGGTAGATCTTGAAGCAGATAATGTTTGTTAATAATCTATTGTGTTTTGTGTGCAGGTTTTAGTTGGTGTGATTGATTCAGAGGACTGGAGCAGTTGTTTAAAGATGGGACTTAAGTAAGTTAAAACATGAAGACCGTATTTTTTTTCATGATCTTACAAAGCAAATCAATTGTAAGAATTATTTGGCTTTTCCACAATACTTTTCACAACACAGTGTGAAGCTGGGCTGTAATGGATGATTGATAATGACAAGATTGAGACCTGGTCTGTGCTGAGTTAGTTTGTCTCAGCTGGGGGAAGGGAATAGATCACCATCCAATGCCCCTGTTGTAAAGTGCATGTCTGAGCATCTGATGAGGCTTGCCTATGATATTCACTGTAATTAACTAGCGTGCCAGCCCTTGCTATACAGTCTTGTTTTCATTCTCTAGGATGACATATAAAGAATGACAACTTGGGATAAATCAGCTCCTTCAGGAACCATCTTGGGAGTTTCGTGGGGGGAGTGGGGGGAGAAATGAGCATATGTTGTGTAATGTTCGTACATTGTGTACGATTCCGTTGAGTCCGTGATTCTGTGTACTCGGGGAGAAACTCTGCAAGGCTCTACAGTGTCACCAAACAACTATTTGAAGCAAATGCTGTTCATCCAGTGGCCATGAGGGAAACATGGTTGTGTGGAAACTATTATAGTGCAGAAATAAAGTGACAAGTCAGTGTTGTTTCGATGAGGAAAGTGTTTAATTTGCACCGTTAGACCTGCGTCCCTGGAAGCAATGACTTAAGTGTACTGAGAGCTTTTATTTGTGCTTCGCATTATTTTAAAGCACATCTGAATGAAACACTTTCTCATCTCAAATTGCAGTATGGATGCTCCTTTAGTTCACTTCTGCAAGTTTAATATATGCAGCAGACAAAAGCAGACATTGCACGGTGTCAGGAAATAACATCAAAAGGAGTAGGTTGCATCCATAGGAACATTTGTTTGAACATTGGATAGTCTTTCAGGTAGATTTGTCTACCCCAAAATATACTTGAGTCCTGTGATGCTCTGTGAGATGCACCCTGACTTCAAAGGCATTATATCAAATGCAAGAATTTAATTTAGATTACTTGTGTTTTTAATTTGTCGAGAGCACTGGTGAGGTTTGAACAGAAACAATGAACTCTTTACTGTGAAATACACCATTCATATGTTCCCTCTGCAGTGTCTAATACCAGGAAGCAGTCGGGTGGCATCGTTAGTATAGAATGGGTGCAGGCAGTGCCCACGTGAACTCCCAATTGTGTTGTGTGGTACATAGAACCGTCCAAATAGAACCATAGAAATTTACAGCACAGAAGAAACCTTCCGGTCATTTACCTGCCCCTTCCACATACCCCTGTAGTTTGCTCATAAATCAGATATAACTCGATGTTTACAAAAGCAATTGCAGCGTTTTCTTTGTTCCTTACTATCTCCATCTTGTAAATACAGGTATCGATACGGAGATGTGGCGTTTCTAGTAACCCTCCAGAAACTGATGACTGTATTGTACGAGAACGCAGACCTGGCTGGAATGCTCATCCCGTTGCCCACAATTCACACGATGGTGACTAACCACTCGCTCTTTTTGTCAACCATGCTCAAGGCCACAGAGGATCCAGATGAAAATTTGAGAACCAGAGGTATGATCAATTATTTAAACAAAATACAAGTTCTTAATTTTTGGGGGGTCAGCCCAGTATCCGATACATATGGAAACCCATCACCATGCTGAAGAGAATCCAAACCAAACTGACAATTCCACACATCCCACCTACACGTGAAAATCCCAGAGGTAGATTGTTGGAATGGATGCCCACTCTCTCCCTGGAGGGATGCATCCTACTGAGCTAATTTATAATAATCCTTGCATTTGATATTTATTATTTTAATTCCGGAAAGTATTAGGAGCAGGTTGTCAGGAGCCAAGGTTTGGGGATCCCAGAGTGTGCGTTGGGTTAACTGCTGGAGTCCAACCAGCTAAAATTGCTCAGCTTGCCATTGAGATCACTGTCTGGCAAGCTTTCCACTGCTTGTCCAGCTAGGACCACCGTATCCGTTAGGGCTTTGGCTTGCGGGGTTATCGGGAGTTATATGGAGGATTTTCAGTCCCTATATAGTGCGTATATATTAACTCAAGTTCTTGCGTTGAAATATTCTTCCAATTTTTTTTATCTGTTCAGATGCCTTGGTGGATGTGCTACTTTCTCTCGTCAAACAATGTCCATCTGTCTGTGATAGCAGTCACTTTACAGTGCTCCTGGGAGCTTACGGAGCAACGCTTAGCGGCACTGGTAAGAGTTCTCTTCTTTCCTGCAAATTGAAGCTCTCACATTTGGAATGAGTGCGTCTTGCATTAATAATAATAATAATCCTTGCAATTGATATCGCGCTTTTCACATCTTCTAGGCGTCTCAAAGTGCTTCACAGAATATACTGTAAAGTGAATTGAATGTATATTTGTGGGCGAAATTAACTGCATAACCCTTGTCTTGTTTCTCTATTTTGTGCAAAGATCGGAAATTGCTGCTGATCCTGCAGGCTTACGAGAAAAACAACGTAAGCCTTTCTGAGTTCAGGTGAGTAACAACAACGCATAACACTTATATCGAACCTTCCACATCTGGAGGACATCTCAAAGAGCTTCACATGATGGGAGACCAATATTGGGAGCTGCCTTGGGGGGCGGGGCTGCAGGTTATGAATAGCCAGATTCCTATTCCTGATTTTGTAAACAAACAAAAGTATTTATTAGTAATCTGTGTGTCTTAGGCTTCTGCTGTGGGGTCCGGCGGCTGTCGAACACCACAAGACTCGCAAAAGTCTAGGGAAGTCGCTCTGGCAGCAGCCGAGCATGGACGAGATCCTGTCACTGCTGGACAGGGAAAAGATGTTCCACACAGTCCTTAACTTTCCTCAGCGCCGGTACATCTTCCCAGAGGTATGTCTGATTTTGTCGCTGTGTGTGCTCTCTCCACTTAATCTTCCACTTCTGAAAGACCATTAATCCTGACATGTGCCTGAGACCAAGTACTGCTTTAGTATCTTCTGCCCATCAATTCCTCACCCTTTTTATTGTGTGTTTTCCAGGAGGGAAAGGAATTATGGTTAGATTACAATATCAAGGATCCTCATACTCTGTACGACCCCTGTTTCTTGTTGCCCCTCTTTAGTTCGCTAATCACGCCAGGTAAGTAGAATTTATTGATCTTGTATTAGAAAGACAACACTAATTCCCTGTCGACTTGCACTAGGCAATAACTGAGTCCATTGAAATCGGGGCATCAGCTAGCTTTGTTTAAATTTTGAAGATAATCGTAACAGTAAAGGCTTTCTCAAAGATACAACAAATGATTGTACGGTTTTAGAGTGTTTGGGTAATATCAAGTCAGTTGTTAAAACTCCTTCAATTCGCATTCTTTGTATGTTAGCTAAGCCACCCGAGTCGTGTTGTCTTAATCGAAAATCTTTTTGAGTGATTTTCGAGGAGGAGGGGAAAAAAACGGCTACATTTCACAAGCGCAAGCCATCATTGAAGCTTGTACCTCACTCCTCTGCCGGCCTCCTTCGCTCAGCTGGCTCAGGCCTGCTATGCATCCCCCAACCTCTGACCCATCATCGGTGGCTTGGCCTTCAGCCATTACAGCCCTAACCTCTGGAACTCCTTGCTTCATTCCCTCCATCTCTTTCCCTTCCTTTATTTATGTTTAAATCCCACCTTAAGACTTATCTCTTCAACCATACCTATGGTATGGTCATCTCCCCTTTCTCCCATGCCTGACTTCTATCCCCAGTACTGTACAGCACTTTGACTGCTAGACTGTTTGAAGGGCTCTATAAATGCAAGTTGTTGTTGTAATGTCAGCTCTGCGAGGTCAGATACGAAGTGTACTTTGATTGTTTAAATATCAGCAGCACATAGTTCATTGCAGAAAAATATGTTGCCATCAATCCTTGCATTTGATGTACGCTTTATCGCTTTGTCTCATCTCAGCACGTCACAGGATTTACTGCTAAGTGTAACGTCTGTGTATTTCATAGACAATGTGGTGCTAAAGGTTTTATAGTTGAAACATTTGATGGCCCAAGTCTCTAAATGGTGCATTCTCCTGACCATGTGCTGAGTAGAAAAAGCATCCCAATAATAATCTATAATAATAATAATCCTCGCATTTTATATAATACTTCATCACGTCTTCAAGACGTCTCAAAGCATTTCACAGAATTTACTGTAAAGTGAAATTGACTGTATATTTTGTAGGCAAAACCTAACAGCCAATTGCGCACACAGTGTCCCACAAATAGTTGTGGATTGAGTGACCAAATTATTATTATTTTTTGAAGGAATTATTGCATTCGGAAAAGCGATCCACCAATTGACTAACGATCAGATTCCTAAGTAAACAGAGGGGTGTGGAGTAAGGAAACTTACCTAACATTTGGCCCTGCCCACTTGCGAGGCGAGTGCACTAACCACTAAGCTACAGGACTCCTTAATATCAGCTCGTCACTGTGACACTGATGGTGGTTCATGAAAATCCAACAGACACACAGACCATTGAGAAGAAACCAAGGAGTGGGCAACATAAAGCATCATTTTTAAGATGAAACTCACTCCAGCAGTTTCAGTGATCTCTGGTATTGGCCATGTTAATATTGGCCACTACAATTGCAAAGTTAAAAATGTGCTGATATATTTCTTTTGAGGGGAAGTTTTGGACATATCCAAATAAGGGATATCCATGATCCACGCAAGGGAATTGACACTTTCAGCACTCCCCAGGTCAGGTGCAGCATCGTCAGGTACAAAATATAGCTCCCTCTGGTCACCGCACCTTACTCACAAGTCAAAGAGCCTCCACCCTCCCCATATATCAATGTGGATTTTCCACTTCTGACACCAGTTTGTCAGAATGGCCTTACTGGCTGAGTTTCCCAATTTATATTTCATCTTAGAATCATAGAATTATACAGCATAGAAAGAGGCTAATCGGCCCGTCGTGTCTGTGTCAGCTCTTTGAAAAGAGCTATGCAAAACAATCCTGAACCCCCCCCCCACCACACCCTGCTCTCTCCCTATAACCCTGCAAACTTGCCCTTCCAAGTAATTATCTACTTAGCTACATTAAATCTATAGTCCCACAAACTATTTTACCGATCGGGATGACGTTTGGGATTTATTAAAAAGAACACAGCATTCGAACACATAGAAATTTACATGCCTCTCGATCTCAGTCTCTTCTGAACTCCGGCCAAATGTTTCTTTATACTTGAGCCAGTAGCATTTTAGCTTGAGCATGTTTGGATGCCATTATTGTGAACTTCCATCAAATCATTGCGAATCTTGAATTAGAACAACAAAAAAAATTAAGAGACAAAAACAATAATTTAAAGAACTTATGCTGATAATTATTTGTAAATATTCTTTCAGTGTTTGCAGTTGAAATCCCTATTTAAGATTAAATTGGCATGGCGATCTACTTCAAGCCCTGAAAACCCATTTGAACCATTTGTCCCTTTGAAAATCCTGTGATTTGGCTTTCTCGCCGTCTGTGCCAGATATAACAACTGTCTCTACTAGATGTGATATATAGCTGCCTTGTGAGGAACAGTGCCCTTGAAACATAAAGCAACTTGTATTTTTCTGACTCAGATTTGTCTGTGAAAAGCATTTTTTTATAGTTCCTGATCCATTTCATTTCTCAAGGTTCTTAAAACCAGTGAATATTTTATTTCTGTCGAGCCGAGCAGCCTTAACCATTTCAGGGAACTAATCTGTTTCTTGGCAAACACGATTTATTTCGGGGAAAAAGTTCGGACTATTTTGATGCTGGTCTAAAGAGCTTGTGTGAAGGCTCCTCTCTTATGTGAAAGGTTTCTGCTTGTCTTTTTGATATGTCTTTCTACTGCTGCGGACAGGCACTTAGCAAGATTAAGGCCCTTGCACAAAGACTTGGTTTACTTCCCAAGACCTGCCGAGCAGTTTGGTTTATTATTATGTGATATGATATCATTAAAGAACGATGATCCTTGCATTTCATGCCTTAGCACGTTGTTGCTATGTCTCAAAGCACTCATCGTGATTTTACACCAGCCAATTTAGACGGAGTGAAATCCCACGGGATTTTATTGTAAAGTGTAGTGACTTTATTTGTAGGCAAACACAACATCTAATTTGCGCACAGCAATATCCCACAAATATGCTATGGAGCAAGTGATCAATTGGCCAGGATACCGAGGGAAACTCACTTCTCTTTTCGAGTAATGCCATGGATACCTTAATCTGCACAAGCAGAATTTCTTTGCACGTCTTTCCTTAACATAGTGTCTCTCTGGCCTTGATCCTTGAGGAAGCGACAAGGTCGTCTTTTCTCGTAGGATTGTGCAAAAATAACACCAGGAACCTACATGGCATAGAAAGGAAACATTCACCTGTGAATCTCAGTTTAATTAACTGTGCGCAGTTGACTGCCGTGTTTCGCCCATAAAATATAGTCAATTCACTTTAGAGTATATTCTGTGAAGCGCTTTGAGGCGACTTGACACGATAAGGTGCTATATCAAAATGCAAGGATTATTATTGTTAAATCGTTTTCTAATTTTCCTTTCTCTGTCATTAATTGTCTGTTTTCATAAGGGGAAAGGACAGAAAGGAGTGTTCATTTCCACCTTTACTTGGCACAATTGCCGGGAGAGCGAGAGGGCTGTGTGAAATAACCGATCTGTTGCCACCATATAACCGCAAGATTCTTGAGTTGAAATTCAGTAACTGGGTGACTGTTTTTTCCTCCTGGTAGCTGGTTATCCATTACAAACTTTGTCACTTTCTTTGCAGAGTCGTTGGTGGAGTGTTCCAAGTTTGTTGATACTCACGCCTTGGGGCTAACCGTGGCTGCTCTTAGCAGTTATGATCCTCAAATGAGGGCTGCAGCTTACCACGTTCTCGGCAATTTCTACATGCATTTAGAGGGCGCTCGCTTTAGGGAGAAGAGACAAGTGAGTGGAATACTAAATTGTATGAGCTGTGTAAATCCCAGAGCACTGAATGTCCCTTCCAGTTTTCAAGTGTAACACATTTTCAAAGAAACTCTCAACAGCGAACGGTGTGAAATTTCCCCAAATCCCCACACAATGCACTCTGTGGATGGTGGATTTGATGTGCGTCTCTGCACTTCAGCCACTTGATTTGTAGAAATTATGGCAAGCTGAGAGGGGGAAAGCATAGGATCGCATGATTGCTCATTTTAAGTGAAAGAAACTTTAAGATGTATTCTTTTCTTTGAGTCGCATGCATTGGCAGCAAAAAAAATATTCAGGGCTTTTCCATTTGCTGTCAAAATGGGCTGCAGCACAGCACGGAGCTCAGTTCAGAGTCACATTATCTTTCCGCCCAGATCTAGGATCACCCATCTCTTAAAATTAATAATATCCAATGTTCACAACAACAGCTTGCATTTATGTCACGCCCCTCGCACAGGGCAGCATCCCAGAGCGCCTGAAAGTGGAGAGCATGACTCCGAGCCAGGGGGTGAGTGGGGGGTGGCCATCAGCACAGTAGAATAGGAATGTCTTCGGGCGTGACCTGAAGATGGGTAAGGAAGGACAAGGTGAAGGGATAAAGGAAGAGTGTTCCAGAGTTTTGGGACATAATGGCTGAAAGCACGGCCACCAGTGGTGGAACGGAGGGCATGGAGGGACAAGCAGAAGACCGAAGCCATTCGAGCGGAAGCAGCGGGTTGTGGGTTGGAGGGTAAGCAGATCGGAGAGGTAGGGAGGTGCCAGGGCATGAAGGGATTTGAAAACAAATCTAAGGATCTAACAGTCTGCCTTTTTCCCATTTTTCTAGTTACTATATCTGTTGGATATGGTGAAGAATGGGATCCAACAGCCTAATGTCAAGTTCACTTTTGCCTTGGCATATTTTGTTGCAAAAGTTGCCCAGCAGATGCTTAAACCAGGTCAGTAAGGGGAAAAATAGGTTGTCTAATTCCTTTCACCACTACGTGCATCAACGATTATTGTTTGCTTGTAAATGCTCCCATTTACACATTATCAAAGTCTGCGCACAGAAGCAGGAGGAATTTCACTCCCACAGTCTCTTTGACTGTTTATGTGGTTGTGTTTGTCAAGGAGCAGGAGAATGGAGTGATGTATTTGGCTGTTGCATTAACTTGAGATAATTGGATGTGTCCAAAAATGTTACCACATGATTTGAAAAGCACTTGCACTGCTGCCTGATTGAAGTCAGTGGGTATTAGAGCAAAGGCTGCCGCCTTAGGGAAAACCTTTACATTAGTCAATGTTACTCCTATTTTTTTTATTACCCTTTTTTCTTGTGCTAGCTCATACCCTCTTTCTTTTATCTCAACCCCCCCACCGTCCCATCCTGTCCTCCCCCTCACCCCTCCTCACCCCCGGGGGCTGCAATCCGTGAAACAGAAGAAAGTATTCACTCATTTTAGCCAAATTGTCAAAACAGAAGTGGCTCTGTTTAGTAGATCAATTATCAGTAAGTTTTGTGCGACAGCCATGCAAATATTCCCTGTACTGCTGCTCAATGACAGATTATGACCAGCCAGGAAAATGTTATTCAGAGCCTCGGGCCACTGAATTCTGAGGTTCAAGTGCAGAGCTTGGAGGCCAACAGTATGATCATTGTAGAAACCTATCTGACATGATTTCCTATGATATAGTTCCATCTGTTATCAGTATATTCTGTTGTGTTACCTCCAAGTGTAGTCCTGTTCCGGGTGCTGCAGTTGAGACTCCCATAAATAAAAAAAAATTTGCTGCTGTTAAAAGTGGAACTGGCCATAATGAGAACGTTAATCCAATGACAGTACCACTGACTGACCGACATTTCATGCTTAAAAAATAACAAACAAGAGAAGTCATCTTTAGAACAGCTGCTTTTATCATTCGGAGTAAGGTGCAGGTGGATGTTAAAGATTCCGGTCCCCCTTTCAAATGGAGAAGCAAGTTTTTTTTTCCCCCCCACCCATTATCTGGCTAACAATCTCACAGATAATATTGGTCATTCACTTCATGGGTGTTTGAGGGACAATGCCGTGCACAAATTGGACACTGCTCACCAACACATCTGAAACGCTGCACTTCACAGAGAATCCTGTAAAGTTTATTAAATGTATAAATGGAGCTTTCTTTTGTGTAAAGTAAATGTGTGGTTTGTTTTCAAATTAACTTTGTAGAGGAGCACATGTACAAGAAAATTAACAACTTCCTTCTATCGCATCAGTATCTGGACTTAAGGAAACTGCCTGGATTTTTCAGATTTTTCTATAGCTCTGACATGGAGGTAAGACTGTTTTCTTGTCTGTTGTATTCAGGTTTAAGAGAGAAATCGGATTGATTAGGACGCTGAATGGGTGAGGGCACCATTGTTGTGTGACACTAAGCCATGCTCCTTGAATGTGTTGATTTCAGTCTTATTAGCTGTTGAAATCATGGGTCAAGATCTCATAGTTGGCTTCAACATCCCAAAGCTAAGGATGGGAGGAAAAATCAAAGAAATCCCTGTGAAGTGTAGCGATTGAGTATTTTAGAGGCAACCAAATTTTGTACGCTTTGAGATGTCCTCCCAACATGAAAGATGCCCGATCAAATACAAGGATAATTATTTTACTTTGATGGGGAGTGGGAAAATCACTGAATTGGAGGAATCTATGATCCCTCCCATACCAGGAGGGTATGTGTCAGTTGGATTGAGAAGCACCTCAAACTCAATTTTGTTGTTTAGCTAGTCTGCTAAACCTTCATCTAGGTTTCAACATAGAGGTTGACCCATAATGTGATCTGTGATTAAAGAAATAAACATTTTCTGCTTCAACCATCTCCCAAGGGAGCCTGTTCCACAGGTTTACTATTCGCTCACTGATATCTCAAAGTGCTATGCAAGATTTACTGTAAAGTATAGCAATGGTGTATTTTAGACCCATTGACCAATGCTGCTAGATTTGCTGCTGTCTTCAAAAAAGTAAGCCTTGAGGGAGGGAGGAGAGTTTTCTAAATTTTGAGGATAAGCCATTTTTAGTGATTGGCCACATTTCAATGAAGGCAATTTGGATTTCAATGAAGGAAGTTTATCAATTCTATACATTCATGCAGCTCAATAAGCCTCGCTTCAGGTTCACCTTTCATCCATTTTTTTTGTTTGTTTCTCAGCATAAAATTGAACGTGAATGGGTTCTTGAACTGTTGGGAAATGGCCTGAAGGACAACCATTGTTATGAACTGTGTGACCATCAGAAAATCTTCCATGTTATTCTAGCTTTCTTTAACAGCCCGTTATGCGGTGAGACAGCCCAGGTAAGTAGCAATTATAATTTATTCATCGCTACGAATTGCTGTGGATTTTATCTTGTGTGTCTTAAACTGACACTAGATGTTTGGGAAACTTTTTTTNGACTTGGGGGAGCTGTCGTTTTTGATATCGAGACAAATGAATAAAGTTCACTAAACTCTGTTTTTATTCAATTGGTTGTGCTCCTGAGTTGGTAAGTAGTGCTTACGTTTGAGGTTACAATAAATAGTAATAACAATCGTTGCATTTGATATAACACCTTATCAAGTCATTAAGATGTCTCAAAGCGCTTTACAGGATTTTACTGTGAAGTGTAATGACTGTATTTGAATGCAAATGCAGAAGCCAATTTGCATGCAGCAATGTCCCACAAACAGTAATGATGAATTGTATTTGGGGGGTTGTTAGCCAGAACACCAGGAGAAACTCCATTCTCTTTTCAAATAGTGTCATGCGATCTTTAACATGCACTTGAACAAGCAGACAGGCCTAGACTGTGGGTTCAAATAGGTTCACCTACAAAGTACACAGTACTTACATTTTATTACGGTAAAAAACAATCCTATGAAGCACTTTGAAATATCCTCTTCACGTGAAAGGCGTTGAATAAAATGCAAGGGTTATTTATTAATTTGTGGCCTTACAAAATGCAAGAAATAATGGCTAAAAAATTGAATTTCGTTTGAATTTTCTGATTCTAGTAAAATAATTTTAATCTGATTTATTTCCTTTGCAGAATCAGATTGTCCGCATACTACTGCACACGGCTCACATCCCAAAAGGAGCGTATCAGCTGATCAGAGACCACAGTCTCCTGTCCTGGATACTGCACAACTTGCAGACAAAGTATGTGTATACCTGCCACTGCAACACCAATTGTTCTCCCTTTGAACCAATTGTAGATTGATTTTTTTTTGAGGGGTGGGAAGACTTTCAACAACAACATGTATAAATGATTTTAAATATCAAATGATTTTGCCACAAGTTATACCATGCCATCGGCCTCACCCCCCTGACCCCAGCTCGGGTCTGAAATACTGTACCCTGCCAGCGCCTTGGGACGTCCTCCTGACGTGAAAGGCACTGTACAAATGTAATCTTGCTGTTGTTGTTGATGCACATACTGTGAAAAGGGAGCCACTGAATCCAATTTAGCAGATTTGCTAACACTTCCCGACGTTTTGCAAATCCCATTAGAAAGTTGTCTTGTAGAACAGTCTACTTATCCCGCATACTAGTCGTGGGTTCATGTTGTTTGATTATGGTGTTTAAGAGCGTATGTTGCTTTTGCAAAGACACTTTCCTCAAAAATGCACCTACTTTTTGGTTGATTGCAGGCTCCACCCTCACTATACTGCCCATTCCCCAAGTTCTATCAAAAATATGTCTTGTCTAGTTGTCTTCTGAATCCTTTCCTACTGCTTGCTTCAATAGCTTTCCCCGATAAGTATATTTTAGACCCTTTGTGTGAAATTGTTCCGCTTGAGGTCTCGTTTAGCATTGTTGATTTTAATGCATGTCCTTCGCTCTTGTATCTCCGTCAGTGTGAACCAGTTTTCACCATCGGCTTTTAACAATCCCTTCATCACTTTGAAAAACTCTTCAAGAATCTTAAAACTTCTCATAATTTGCAAGGTTTATCTGTAAGTGTTTTGCACCTAATAGCACCTTCTTTCCATTTACTTCCAGGGTTCTAGAAAACAGGATGCTGTTCAATTTGATCTCGCTGCTTCACACCCTGTGGCTGACTAACCTGGGCAAGAAAGAGAAGACTCAAAAATTCCTACCTCTTCATTTTATCAATGAATTTCTGTATATTCTGAGTGTTCTAATCAAGCATGTTTGGTAAGGAATTCTGAACATTGCTAAATGAGGTGCAAAAAGGATACTTGGATTTGCTCTTGTCTTCTATAGGACTGCGGCCACAGCAGGTTGATGGGTTTATAGTCTTCACCAGCCAATGCAGTTTCTCACCCGATTTCTCCCCTTCACTCTCATCCTGTAGCTAGGTGGTTAGAGCACTTGGCTTGCAAGCAAGAGACCTGGTTTCAATTCCCAGCAGGGCGAAATGTTGCGCAAGTTTTCTTGCTCCACACACCTCTGTTTACCTAGCAGTAAGTAGGAACCCAGCTGCTGCTGACCCAGTCAATTGGTGGATCGCTTTTCCGGGGGTAATAATTGCTTCAAAAATAAATAAATAATTGGTCACTCATTCCACGACTGTTTGTGGGACACTGCTGTGTGCAATTGGCTGCCTCAGTTTATACTCAATTACTGTACACACTGATGGGCTCACTGAACCATCGGGGAAGTCTGCAGACTATTTGTGCAGATTTTTAATCTCTGCTTTCCGCTACCCACATCCAGCTTGGGTGCCAAGCCAGGATTGCTAACGCCTGGGGACGTGAAAGGTGCCAACTATATCAATGTCAATTTGTAATTTATCTTGTTTGCATAATAGAAATACAAGAAAAAAAAACATGACATAGAGGAATTGGGTCACATTATTTTCCTTTATTTTTTCAGCTTGATGATGGACAGTAGAACGTTTTCTGAATTCTTACACATGTTCAGTTCGATTATACAACATCACTCTCGAGCTCTCGGGGCCTACAAGGAAACAGGATGGATTACTATAAATGAGAGTGTTCTATCTCATGCAGACATGCTGCTACTTCTACACAAATGGAGTGTGGTGGGGAAGGAAGCACACACACAGGACCTCCTACGCACTCTGGCCCAGAAATACGGCATTAAGAAATTGCTAAGTACGTCGTTTGATTTTTATATTCAACTGAACTACTTTAGTATCAGTATGCCATAATAAAGAAACATCAGGGTCGATATGATGCTATTAAATACGAGTTATTAAATATGTTGGGCGAGGACAGTACAGACAAAGATGTGCCCCTTAATTGCCGCAATTGATTCGGTTGTGTTTGACTTTGCAGAGGTTATCAGAGAGAAGAACAAACCTCGAATGCTTGGGTGGATGGCTCCACAAAGCAGAAGGAGGCGAATGGGGGTGGGGGAGGAGGAGGAGGACGGGGGGAGTGAACTGCAAGAGTCCTGTCTAGAGCGATGCAAAGAGTCGCTGAGGTCCATATTCGCTCACTGGGATCCAGCATACACTGAGGAGAAATTGGATCTCCAGGAAAACCAGGAAGACACAGGCAGCATTGTTAAAGCAACCACATGCTTAGTGGTTAAATGGGTCATCGAATCTGCTGCTGAAAGTCCAATGAGCATTCCCCAGTGTCTCTTGGTGTTGAAATGGCTGAAGCGGAATGTCCTGCCTTGCAAAGCTGTGTGTCTGGAACTTGTGGAGGATGATGCTTTTAGGCACTGTCTCCTGCGGCTTTACAGCGGGTTCGCAAGTACAGTGGACGGAGAGGCTCTGAGATGGGAAGCCTCCTACCTCTTCGTCGGTGTCTTGTTCCAGTTGTTGGAGGCTCGAGGCATGGCAGATACCAGCTTCCATGAGAATATTATCCAGAGAATCTGTCTTCAGGCACTAAACAGCGAGGATGGAGAAAGGAGAGGTGATTATCTCAAATGCACAGTTCTGAATTGTAATTCAGTTTTAAACACAGCAAAATATTCCCGTTTCTCTTAGCGTCTAGAGAGAAAATAGTTTGATGTGGTTTGTCTCAATTTTTACCTCGGTAAGTTAACATTTTGTCTGTACTGGTAAGCTTCCCACCTCTTGTCCAGCTAGGACCAGCCTACCTATTAAGGCATTGGCTTGCAGGGTTATCCGGTGCTGAACTGGGGAAAATCTTGACCATTCCTCTCTTTTCCTGTTGTGTCAGTTTAGATTAGGAGCTGACACCCATCTTGACGCAGAGGCGAACTGAGACTAGCTGAGCCTGGATCAGTTATTTAAAATGCCTTCAGTGCAGCTTCCAGAAAAGCAGAGAGTGGGGGGGGGAAGGAGGCCACACGAGTGATTTGCTTTCAGAAAAAGTCAAAAAGGTCCTGGAATAAAATATAAAATGTATGTGGAAGTGCATTAGATGCTGTACTTGCTCTCTGAGCATTAATACGTGTCATTTTTATTTGGGTTTCACAGCTGCAGCGTTATTCCTGCTCTCCATTTACCTGTGGGACTTGTGGCTAGGAGCACAGGAAGCTCACTTGTTCCTGTCTCATGTGAGGCTGATCTCCATCTTTGAAGAAAGGCCAGGATTTGGCCAGCAGAGCCTCGGAGGAAAAAGTGAAAGCGAGAAGCCAGCTGATGGGATGGTTTCTCTCTGTAGAGACATCAGCCACCTCATTAAGGGGCGGCAGCTAAGTTAACGTTTGAAACAGAATCGTGCGTGGGTGAACCCACATCAGAAAATGATGGGCAAAAACTATTACGTTGCTCAAGAAATTGTATCTGATATGTTTTTTGTCACTATTCATAGATGCAATATTTTGGATATTAAATTCTTGACATGAAAAGAATCATAATTTCCTTCGTTAATTAACGCTATGAATGCTGATAAACGATGGGTCTGCCTTACAGTTCTTCAAAGCATCTGATGGTTACACATCCCTTAAGCGAGGAATGTGTGTCACAACTCAGTCATTAAGCATCCAGCCGAATGCCAACAAAAACCTCTCACAATGACAGATGGAATCTACAGAACTCACGACCATCAACCATCCCCAATTGCATCGTAGAACGAAGAACCAGCAATCCAGCAGTGCTTGCCACAACATTGCCAGCAGCAAAGGTTACAAACGCAAATCTGAGCACGGCGGAGTGGTGGGGGAGAAAGGATAAGAAATCACTGATTTACTTTCGTATGGTGGAACTTGCATTTAGACAGCAGCTTATCACGTGTCTCAAAGGATTTCACAAATAAGTTTCTTTGAAGTGTACCGGTTGTTACATAGGCAAATATGCTGTTTATCTGCACCAACATTGTCCCACAACCACCTATGAGATCAATAGTCAGCTAGTGATGGTAGGTTGTGAATGTTGAGTGAGGAGTATCAGCCAAACCATCAGGAGAGATCTGGCACAAAGGGTGCCATTTGCACTCAGCTATATTTTTGTTAGTTACCTAAGAACCACTTTATAATCTGGCATGCTCAGAAGCTGCAAAATGTTAGGGCTTTTACATCTCACACTCCTGTTTGAAGATGTAAAATTTGATTAACCACATGACCAGGCTCCAATAATTAACACATGAAAAAATAAAAATCCTTGTGTTTGATATTGCGCCTTATGTCGTTGGTGGCTCAAAGTGCTTCATGAGATTTACTGTAAAGTGTAATGATTGTAGATGAATGTGGTAGCCAATCTGTGCATAGCATTGTTCAATGAACAGTTTTATCTGAGATTGTTGACCAGGACGCCAGGAGACTTTTTGGGGGTGGTGGGGGGCAGGTGGGTGTTTGACACATGCAGAAAGCCATCACAATGCTTAAGAGTAGCAAATCAAACTTGAGAATACCACGCATCCCACGTACACCTGGAAATCCCAGAGATTGTTTGAATGGAATGAGCACTATCTCCCTGGAGGGATGCATCCTGCTTACCGAATTCCGGAAAGTACTAGGCACAGGTTGGCAAGAGCAACGGCTTGGGGACCCCAAAGTGTGTGATGGGGTAACTGCTGGAGTCTAACCAGCTAAAACCGCATAGTCTACTATCGTATTGTCTGGCAAGCTTTCCCGCTGCTTGACCAGCAAGGACCACGCTACCCATTAGGGCTTTGGCTTGCAGGGTTAACAGGAGCTAAGTGGGATGATTCCCTGCCGGGAGATACTTCCTTTGCTTTCAAATAGTTCCAATGGATCATTAAAATTCCCCTAAACCTGAGGGAACAGAGCTGCGGAGTTGGATCTTGTTGGAGCAAAGTTGCCATATGGTCAGCGTGATGTGCTTTTAGTTAGCGGAAGGAGTCCTTATTTGTGCAACTCAGTTTCCTTATTAAGGAATCTAATTGGAAGAAATACTGCATTTTAGACCCCAGTGATGTCTTACCAAACCTAAGTAATTTTCAAAAATAGCTCATTGCTCATTCTTACTATAAATGACGATTTGCAAATTAATTCTCTGTTGGAACAACCAGTGAAGGTCTGAAATAAGTGTTAATTGTTTTTCCCCATCGCTGTTGTGATTTTCAGATATAATTTTACCCACACTACTCTGCACCGAGTAGATATTAATGATGTGCTCTGCCAGAGAAACTGCGTGTATTAGGACTTCTGGTATACTGCTGCTGCATTCTGCCCTGGCTACATTTGCTGTGAATTAAACACTTAGGCTATCACACATGCAGAGTAAAAAAACACTGAGACGTATTCTCTTCAATGCTGTTAATTTTGCATGTCTAGAATACGCATAATGCAATGCTCTTGCCCCCAGAGGCACTTAAAACTGGCCTCTGAAGTGGGTCTTTGCCCCACCTTGGTGGCAACGTTGCAGGAGACAGCAGAGAAAATCATCTTGAAACTTTTCCAATATTGGAGAAATTCGAACATTTAAACGTATTCCAACATCACCTGCGTTTCTGTTTTTTGGCCTGTTGAGACATTCCCTTAATGAGCGATGAGGGTTAGGAGAAAGATCTGTAGCCAGAAATATTCATTTGAATCAGCTCATCAGTATAAATATACCTTATTGTCCAAACAAACTAAGTGAGTCTATGGTCTTATCCAGTCCTGGTTGTAAAAGGACCAGTTAATCCAAATTATCAATGTATTATTATCCTTAAAGCAGAGAGGATTGAGGGGAGATTTAATAGAGCTGTTCAAAATTATGAAGGGTTTTGATAGAATAAATAAGGATAAACTTTCCTCTGGCAGGTGGGTTGGTAACCAGAGGTCACAGATTTAAGATAATTGGCAAACGAATCAGAGGAGAGGCGAGGAGACATTTTTTTCACGGAGATTTGTTAGGTCTGGAATGCACTGCCTGAAAGGGTGGTGGAAACCGATTTGATAATCGCGTTCAAAAGGGAATTAGATAGGTACTTAAAAATAAAAAAATTGCAGGGCTATGGGGTAAGAGCGGGGGAGGGGGACTAGTTGGTAGCTCTTTCAAAGAGCCAGAAATGCTGTAAAATTCTATGATTAGTGATGGAATTATATAAAGATGGGCCAAATCCTTTCTGAGAAAATGCAGATATGCTACAGTATTGCTATTGAGTTATCCGCCTGATGAAAAAAGCGCTGTACACTATCAATGTATTTTATGGTATTTTACAGATCCATTTTCATCTGCAAGTACGTCTTGTGTTTCAGGAAACAGGCTATTGAAATCAGATGAATGTGCCATAACAGCCTTCAGAATCTTCAGATTGATGCTTCTGGACATGGATTTAAAAGTGAATTTTAAGATTCTTACAGAACAACTTGACATGTATCAGCCATGGTACTGGTCCTAGCTACGGTAAAGCTCTTTTGAAGGTTGCTTGCCGTGGTACTAGCAAAGTGCTTTTAAAACAAAATTAGTCTAAATTAGGGTGACTATACGTCCCTGATTTTCGGGGATAGTCCCTGGATGAGTTATTGTGCCAAACATTGTCCCCGAAAGAGTTCAGCAACAAACTGAGCAATAACAATAAAATTCTAAAACATTAATTTATTATTAATAATAATAAATAAATAATCCGTGCATTTGATATAGACCCTTATCATATTGTTGAGGCTCTCAAAGTGCTTCACAAAATATATTGTAAAAGTGGATTGACTGTATTTTGTGAGTGCGCAGCAATGGAACAGTCGTGGATTGAGTGACCAATTTTATTTTTCTTGGAGGGATTATTTCCCCTGAAAGCGATCCGCCAATCGACTATGACAACCAGTTTCCTACTTACTAAAACAACAACGAGATTACATTTGTATAGCGCCTTTCACGTCGGGAGGACGTCCCAAGGCGCTGGACAGAGTATAGCATTTCAGACTCGAGTTGGGGTCGGGAGGGGAAGGGGGTTGGCCAATGGCATGGTCGAAAAGGAGGGTCTTCAGGCGGTCTTGAAGGAGGCGGAGTAACTGGGGGATGGAATTCCAGGGGTTGGGGGCAGAGTGGCTGAAGGCTCTCCCGCCATTGGTGGGGCGGGTGGGTTGGGGGACGTGGAGCAGGACAGAGCCGGCTGAGTGGAGGGAACAGGCGGATTGGTAGGGGGTTAGGAGGTCGCAGAGGTGGGGGGGGGGGGTGAGGCATTGGAGGGCTTTGTATGTGAGGACCAGGATCTTGAACTGGATCCTCTGAAGGATAGGGAGCCAGTGAAGTTGTGCGAGAGTGGGGGAGATGGGGTCACGAGTTTGGTGCGGGAGAGGACACGGGCTGCAGAGTTCTGGATTATCTGCAGCTGTGGAGGGAGGAATTGGGAAGGCCGACAAGCAGGGCGTTTGCATAGTCGAGCCTGGAAGTGATGAAGGCATGAACAAGAGTTTCAGTGGCCTGAGGGGTGAGATAGTGGCGGAGTCGGGCGATGTTACGGAGGTGAGGGAAGGCAGAGCTGGTCATGGCTTGGATGTGGGGGAGAAAAGACAGTTGAGGGTCGAACAAGACACCTGGGTTCCTGACTGGCAGTGAGTTGTAGTGTGAAACCCCATGGAGGTTGATGCTGCCAGAGCCTGAGGTGCAGAGGCGCTGGCCCGAGCCAATCAGGAGGGCCTCAGTCTTGTTCACATTCAGCTGTAGGAAATTTGCCCTCATCCAGGACTTGATGTCTGACGGGCAGTCTGTCAGCACAGCAGTGGTCCTGGAGTTGAGGGTGGAGGCAGAAAGATAGAGTTGGGTGTCATCCACATAGATGTGGAAGTTGTCCCCCATGTCTGCAGATGATTTCATCAAAGGGGAGCATGTAGATATTAAAGAGGAGAGGGCCAAGGACAGAGCCCTGAGGGACGCCAGATGTGACAGTGCAGGGGCTGGAGGAGAAACTGTTAGAGACAACGAGTGGAGACGGTGAGAGAGATAGGAATCGAACCAGGCAAGGGCAGATCCATGAAGATTGAGTAAAGCGGAGAGGCGGTGTATGAGGATGGAGTGGTCGACAGTGTCGAAGGCGGCAGAGGGAGCCCTGATCACAGATGTTCAGAATGTTATTAGTGACTATGACCAGGGCTGTTTCTGTGTTGTGGGCAGCGCAGAAGCCGAATAGGTAAAGACAGGCATGTGGAGTAAGGAAACTTGCCGAAGGTTTCTCCCTACCCGGGATTCGAACCCAGGTTCTCTCGCTTGCGAGACTGGTCGCTAACCACTACGCTATGGCCTCTACGAATTCATCAAAGAAATACAGACATTAATCTAACAAGCTTTTCCAGTCCTGCCAGCATCAGGAATCGTGGTGTGTTCGATTTTTTTTTAATATAAGTGTTCCCGGATTTGGTTTACGAAATGTGTTCACCCTAGTCTAAGCTAACTTTATGCTTTGCAAAAACTATTACTTGACCTTGGTTCAAACTACAAAAGAATCCCCTCGTTATCGATGAAGACTTTAAGGGGTGAAGGTATGGTTGGAACAAGTCACAAGTTCATAAGCACAGTTCTGATAAAAACCCTTTAGCCAATTCAATCTGATTTTGCAGAATACCAAACCTTCCTATGACTCACATCAAGGAGTTCCTAAACTTAGAGTTCAGGGTCCTGGCTTCAAGCAGCCCTGGAAATGTGTTCCAGTTGTTGATTACTCTATCCACAGAAATACTTCATAGGAGTATACTGTACAGTGATAGAAATCAATGTGGTTTGGCTGGTCAGAACCAAAGTCAGGGGAATATATATATATATATATATTTGTTGGTAAAACATGTTAGCCGATTGTGCACAATAGTATCCCACAAACAATAATGGATTGAGTGACCACATTTTTTTTAAAGGAATATTTCCCTCAGAAAACGATCCGCCAATCGATTAACAATCGGGTTCCTACCCAGGAATCAAACCTAATCCTCTCGTGCGAGGTGAGCACGCAAACCACTTTGCTTTGTGGACTCCACAGTGCTATCCACAGTCTATTCCACATGTAACATAAATAAATCAATGACTTCCCTCTAATGAGTCCCCTTGTTCCACATGCTTTCGATCACATTAAACATAAAGGGTTGTTAATAGATGCCCTTTGCTCCTTGATGTCTCTTCACAACTGGCCTTTCACATCCCTGAACACATGACCCTTGTCCTGTATTTGTGTGTCGCCAAATACCATAGGCCTTTCAATCAACCATAAAATCTGGATTACAAATGGTTGAATGCCTC